AAATATTTTGTCGAAAAACGCGCTGTAAGCTGCCTAGTCCTTATAATCCGACGTTGGTAAAATCGAGAATCTTGGGACTGAATGTACATACTTCCTAAGAATATGCAGACTCTAGAAGGAATTTTTCTGCAGGCTCATTCTAGCTGTATAATTCGATATTTTTATTTGGAAACCTAGCGCTAAGTAAACATATGCCAGGAATTGAAACAGGTTTATGCGAAAGAGCTCGGTCAGCTGCTAACTTTTAGAGTTAGATTCAATGCCGATTGAGGCTCTCCAGATCCGTTGACGGGTGATTACTGATAGCACTGGTCCTTAGAACTAGCTGAGAGATAGCTGAAACGAGGCACCCTCATAGTGTGGTGGTGAACGCGTTAACCTCCGGAAAGGGTAATGCGCGTTCGTTCCCCACCGCAGACACCTTAGGACCTGAGTTTTGCAAATGTCTCAGTATCATTGTGGTTGTATTAGAGTTTAGATTGTGCCTTGTACAAAATATCTTGTGCTGGATTTCGATGGGTAAAGCATCATTATAGCTGAAACTGTAGGTCTGATTGTTTGTGTGGTGGCAAGAGAAAATAATCGATGGAAAATGGGAAATTTTTCATACAGAATATTGATATATCCTATGATTTTTCCGGCGTTTCCATCAGGAAACCTAGCCAAGAGTAAACCAACACCAGGATCCACCACCTTCCTGGTATCAAAGTCGCATGGTGGTAAATCTCCCTCTGATCCACAAGGGCTGCAGCTGCCCATGGTGGTGAAGACCTGGGACAAACTTTGGCCAGGCTGACCTCGGGACTCCAGGGAACCATAATGACTTAACCAGCAAATCTCCGAAAAATGGAGATTATGTTGGGGTCCGCACAACCAGTGAGGACGGACCATTCAAGTATGAAGTTAATGATTTTTCTAGTTTCCGAAAAACTTATTCGAAAATTCTTCACGATCTCATCTATGACGATACGGATCGCTGTTTGTGCTCGTATGGCGGTGATACAATCTTGTCGAGGTCGTCGCATAGTGACTACTTCGCATTTTTTCTTTCCTACAGTTAGATTTCATAGGTGTCTATTATTTCATTCGTTTCGTTGCAATTACAAGGTATACTACCAAAAGCGTGCCATTCGTCAGTAGCCAGTCTGCAAAATTTCTCTATTAAGGAAGAGCTCTGGAAGCTCGAATGAACGAATAAGACTCGGAGTGAAGTTATGACCTTTTATGAACATAACTTCAAGATAATGAAAATCGTAGTCAGCTAGTAACAACGGGCCTAAGTGAACGTTCAGGAAAAGTGAAAACAGCGAGACTATGCCGTCAACAACACAAAACTGCAATGCGGAAACAAAAAAGCAATGCCATTGAATTGAAACAGAGTAATCGGAACAGTTGTAGTAGTATGAGCAAAGAATTCAACAGCCGAAGGTATAGAAGCATCCTCTAGTATAATGAACGCTCTTTTTACACTTAATGAGATATCATTTTTATTGCTGCTTTAATCGCTCTGTATGAACTCTTTCCATAGAAAAATGAAAGGATAAGGCTCTGGGCGTTGATAAATCCCTGAGGGACGCGCCATGCACTCTACTTCATTAAGCATCGTTGGAGGTGATTGAATGGATATCTAGCCTATACAATGACTCGCGGTGGTCTGCCGATATATCGAGCCAGTTCTGCCATACTCGGAGACAGGTCTAGTAGCAATTTGCCGACCCCGAGGCATAGAGTGTTTGCCGAGCCTAGGTCGCATGAATCGATCCCATGTCTATTGCAAGGCGCCTCCAATCACTTCGCCGCACGCGCCTCTTCTATCTATAGTCCTATAGTGTCCTGAAAATCCTTAACATATATTGTTTACTATATAATTGGTCATGGAGCAGGGAGTAAGGACGTGAGGATTAGGACTGTAGTCGCAGTATGAAAACTATTGACTAAATACAGTTATTACATCCCGTTTGTTTGGATGCGAATCTGTCTGTGGTGCTCTTGCTCATTGTGTATAGTCAATCATTTGGTCTTTGTCAAGTGCACTATTTGTGAAGCGATGAATGACATCGATTCCATACTATGTAACGGGAGAAGCCGATAGTTCCTCACATAAACAGTGTTGATCGAACATGTTATTCTACACAACTTATATTCTTTCGAAGTGTTGTTTCACTGTGTTACTATAAAAGTGGTCCCTCCTGGACAGTAGTTAGGGACTTTTGTCTCTTTCTCTTCCTATTTAGAAATTTCTTCTTTGGTCCTGCTATTATCAGTCCTTTCCTCTTTCGTGTAATCTACGGCTGTTATTCTTGCTCTTTGGAGAGTATCCATCCCACATAAGCATCGCTTTCAAATTCTGCACGATTAGGTGTTATGAAGTCGCTGTCCCACTTTCCATCTATGCTCAAGTTCTTGGAAAGCTCCATCTGTGTTTCTTGACCCTGGGACAGACTTTGGCCAAGCTGACCTCGGGAGTTCAAAGAACCACAATGGCTAAACCAGCAGAACTCCGAAATAATGGAACTTACGGTTGGGTCGGCACAATCAGTGAATACTGAGCATCCAAGTATCCAAGTGTTTCTTGACCGTTTCCCGCTGAACTTTTCTTGACCATAGGTAAGCGATCAAACCAGCCACAGAACTTTTCCTTACTCAGCTGTCTCTAACACAAGCTGTACTTCCTTTCTCATAACTGAACTGGAACTAGTTTAAAGTGGAAGACATGCTCACAATTAGTATATTTGACCTACCTTTAGATGTGTCCTACTGAATCAGAAGAACTATATGTAAGTGAAAAAACACTCTTTAATTCATTTGGGAGCGTTTACTTAAAGCGTAAAAAGTATGAAGTACTACTAGTCTTGCGTTCCTACCCTAGTTAGACAGTATCTTTCGTTGATCTTTTCTACGCCTGCGTATTCACATATCCGATCATTTCTAATCGTTCATTGGACGAAGTAAAATGTTCATTCGATTTTTGTTCTCGACATATTTCTTTTTCATTCCCTATATATTGGGATGGTGGCGACCTTAGCATCATTGATGAGTTTAAGATCTCTTCATTAAATCGACCCTCAGTTAATGTGACTGCCCGTTCTTCGTGTGGTTGCTAATTGTATGTACAATGCTCTTTTTTAGTTTTGTTGTCGTCTTTTTTACTAGAATACAGTTGTTGGTGGACGGTTGCGCAGTGGTAGTGATGGCATCCAGTGCGAGCGAAGTGCTGGTTCGACACCCTTTCCCCCAGGATGAACAAGCTCTAATCACTCCGGACTAGGGATATTGGTACCATAGCTGCTGTCTGGAAAAACTTGCCCTCTCTAACCTACATGGGATCGCCGTAGGACGCCTATACCAGGACTTCAGATAGGATCGGCTTGACCAGCATTCGGCGATATTCATGAAAAAGACTAAAATCTTAAAGTAGAAGCCAAAATCACAAACAGAAATCAGAAGACATTATAGGAAAATGGAAGCGAGGAAACGAATCGAATGCAAGAAATTGTCGGGTTCGCAGGCATGTGTTGTCGGGTTGTGTAAGGTAAATGAAATAAAATCTACACTACCGTTAGGACAGTATAGCTCATCAAGATCAAGAGATTTTCTATTCTGTAGAGCCTAATAATGGCAATAGTAATGCTGGAAACTAAATCATTCGTGAATAGTGGTAAAGGAAGATTCACGAAAAGGAAACCACTTGCTATTGCTTAGAGCATTGCAGGAATGCTAGATGATAATGAACAACAGTACGAGGAGATGCCACTGTAGCAATCATAGATTAAATGCAACCGTTGAGTCGGTGTTGAATCTGTAAGGTTACAGTAAGTTCACCTACTAAAAATAAATTTTGTACACTGCAGAGCTTGATCGCATATTTCGTTTGCCAATTGTATTTTTCAATCTCATAATAGCCTCATTGAGATGAGGCTGATAGAGTAGATCTTGGGTGCTTATAGGCGTGTAGCTAGGAAACTTCGTCTGTTGTCCCTGTTTCTCAATCGGTTCATCTTATAGGTTTCCTAAGTTGTGTTTGATCACTAAGGCGTAACGATCGAATTCTCTGTTCAGCGCTGGTTGTTTTTTACAAGAATATACAACATACATACTCAACTAGAAGTTCCTAGGTTATTAGTGCTATTTTGAGGACGAGTCGCAGGTAGCGGAAATATTGAACTTTCACAGGAAGCATTGGTTGTTCAACCATTTGCAATAAGACAAGGTTAGACATTAAAAGAATTTCATTGCTAATCAAGCATAACTGTTGGCACTACCAACTTCAACGAGTATTAGTGACCTAGCAACCTGCTTTTAAGGGACATCAACCACCATAATGTCTCATCCATTCTGTTTTCTGTGTCATCTTTTTCCTTGTTAGAAAAGAACTTTTTTTCATTAGGATTTGTTAAGTAGGAAGTCGTCTAGTCAACTAAACGGAAGTTTATGTGTGATACTGTAAATACAAGACTGATAACCAAATTTTCTAAAACGCAGTAGAACTAATCGACCAATACAGCTTCATAGTACGGATCTTCGTGCTTTCCAACTACTATAAGCAGCTTGCTTTCCGACGATTTACCGCTTCATCGGGACTAGGAGGTGTTTCTGGGTATCGGGCTGCAATGTACAGCGGGAGATTCATCCCCTTGGCAGGACCTCACAGGCTCAGAAGGAGTCCGACGCTTCTACCAGAAAGCTAAGAGTAAACCAATACCAGAATCCACCACCATCCTGATATCAAATTAGTTGCATGGTGGCAAGCCACGCTAACCTCAAGACTCCAGAGAAGCACAATGGCTAAACCAGGAAAACTCTAAAAAATGGAGAGCATGCTGGGGTCTGCACAACCAGTGAGGACGGGCCGTCCAAGTATCCATGTAGTGTTAGCACCTTGTAGCCTAACCTCGGCGCAATATGGTGTTCTTCCCACTTTTTACCATATTTTTTGATACCTCCAAGAATACATCGTTTTTTGAAAGTTTCATAAGTTTTTTCGGCAGTTTAGGATAATTTCATTTGAACAACGGCTTCCAACCCACTTTTCTGTGAGAGATTTGGAGACGACCATCGAGCGATCGAGGAATCGTCACACAATCCGTTGGTTGTTCTCCTTTGCACTGAACATCGAAGGCGAAAATATTTCACTAACATAAAACGACTCATTTCGAACTAATGCTGTGTTATTTTAATGAATCTGAATAAGTAAGAGAGAATTATATGGCAGCTAAACTTAGAACAACCTTCAAGATTAGGAACGGATGGGACTACAGCGGTACACTGGAGCTAATGATCTCTTTCTTCTGAAGAAGCTCTTGGTGCAACACTATTTATTTTTAATAACATTTTGTCTACGCATTTAAATGCTCCTAGTGGGAATAGCGTGACGCTTTTTATAGTTTGAACTGTCTCACAAATAAAAGTTAACTAATCTGGCTTCATCGTGGACTTATAATGATGAAGGATAAGGTGTCTCCCGTTGATCAGTCTCTTCAGGATGCACCATTCCTTCGACTTCATCAAGCATCGTTACAGGTTATTGAATGCATAGCTGGCCTACACAGTGACTTTCAAGGGCCCGCAGGTGTATCAATCCGGTGTTTTTATCCTTCCGAATAACTGTTACTAATCAACCAGCTCCAAAGAGATGGATGTATTGGTTGAGCAGGGTCGCGGAATAGAACTAACAGCCAGGTGTGTATTGCAAAGCACCTCTTACCACTTCACTTGTTGCGCTCAAAAACAATTCATACATATGGCATCAGTAAGAGTATTGATTGTTACCATCTTTTATCATGAACTGTGAACTAATATATTTGAAATTCGTGCCGGTACTGATCGCTTTCGTCACCAGGCCAATAAGACGACGACGCAGCGAATGATTTAGCGTCAGAGCCCGACAGACGTAAGGCAGTGCTTCCAGAGAATTCGACTAGCAGGAATCGAAGATTAGAAGGAATGTAGGACTTTTACCGAGTCTTTCACAACGTTCTTCTTTAGAACTCACCTGTAGAGCGAATTCAAGACTAGCGAGTGCTTCTTTATTGTGTTTGAGAAGCTTTTTCATAAGGTTGTCGATCGCCTTCTTTGCCCAGTTTTCGTCCTCATCACCTGAAATCATCGCATCTGTTTTTTGTATTACGAAGTATTTCTTTCTATGACATCGTCCTTTTTCTGTTTGCTCACTAGCATGTTGAAAGTATACCGAATATTTTCTTAGATTATTAATGCCGAGGTTAAACGACAGTCGGTTTGGAAAAATATGCTCAATGTTTTCACAGTATGGAACTGTATAGTAAAGTCATTGCCGATTTTATCAACGGTAATCTCATTAACCATTTGACTCGAGTGAGCATCAGTAAAGCATCATCATAAAGCATGGATCATCAGTGAGCTCCATTTGTTCCGGTCGGACGCCAGAGTCGAAAAAAACTGCGAAGAACATCACAATTTTTTGCGATGCACTTTTCTTTATACCGTTTCTAACACGAAGTACCTACGAGAACCTTGGTGAACTCCGCTCTAACATAAGTTTACCCATGGCTGAGCTTCCAGATGGAACTGTAGAACCTCCACGTAGATCTTGCTGATAACGGAACCCTGGTGAATATCATATTTCGATACCGAAGAACACCTACCAGCCGTGATGAGAGCTCTCCAGTGCACTATATCCACTAATGACATAAGTTTACACTCATTTCACTTTCATTATGATGTCATACTCATTTCACAAGTTTTTCAGAACTTTCCAATTAATTTATTTAAAACCATATTAGGAGGCGGATAGCACAGTGATAGTGATGTCGGTCATCACGAGCATGGTGCTAGTACGATTCCGCTCCGGGCCAATCAAGCCTTTCATTCCTCCGGGATCGGAAAATCACTCTCTACAATTCAGTTGGAAACGCTCCAGCCCAGCTACCTCAGGACTCCAGAGAGAATTGCTCGACCAGTATTCTACGACATTCAAGTTGAAATGAAAATCCGCAAGCAGCAGCTGAAGCCACACGTGATCCGCGCAATAGACGTAAAGACGGGTCATATGAAATAAAAAAATTGTGTCTATCCCCAATCTTTTCCTATATGTCTATAAAAATTAAAATTATATTAAATCATATCCAATTAACTTGTCGTTGATGACAGTACACTCAGATAAGCAGGAAATATTACGTTAGATGAGTGTTCTCTTTTAAATATTGCAAGGTTTTCTGATCAGAAGAAGAAAAAACTTCTCAAAAAATGATTTCGTTGCTACTACATTAAGGCTGAAATATTTGCAAGACTCTCTGGTTGTCCACCTATAAAGCACGGCCGTGAGAAAGGCGAAACGAAAGACGCGCATAGTGTGAACACATTAGCCCCCGGAAAGGGTTCGATACCCACTACAGACACCTGAGATTCGGAGTTTTGCAATTATCGCAGGATAATTGTAGTTACATTTCATATCATACCCTGCCGTAGGCAAAAATAAAAAGGAAACGACAACGAAAACGAATGATGAAACTCTAAATCGGAAAGCTTCAGCATCATACTGTACCTTGTTTCCATCCCAAATGTTTCATGATGCCGTGGAATTTCGTCTGAATGCTCATCTCGGGATTTTTAAAGGGCAGCTTGTTCCAGAGTTGAATATTTTGCTGAAGAATGTCTATTATTAACAAAGAAGTGGATGAAAACTTTCAGGATGTCGACAGACTAGACGAAAAGATAGTTTATGAAATGAATGAGTAGGGAACGATGAATGACGTCCTTTCATATTATCATAAACTGGTCAGCCGTTTCAAAAACTGTGTTACTTCAGATCGTCCTTCGATTCCAATAATCTGGATTGATTTTTTCTTGTTAACAATATGGAGTTATGGATAAAGTGAGAATAGACAAGAATAGGCTAATGAGGAAGATACCGTTCATTATTCCTTAATAGTTCTAAGTAAATGCTTTTCATACGTATTGATTATCCCACTATTGAGATAATAATCCATATTAAGCGTTATGAAAAACCAGTAACAATAGAAAATCAGTTTTTCTCCGTTCCTTCGAACCACCGTATTCATTCATCAATGTTTTAGGTTTCTATGAAAACACGTTAAAGCATGAGTTCTTCTAAACTGTTGAGTTGAAGGACTTCATCTATCAATTCAATCAATACATGTTCATCGATCAATACTCCAAGATTTCAATGAGTGCAGTGCAAGTTGATAAGCAGACAGTAGTGAGTGGGGTGGGGTGGGGTGGAGTGGATGATAGGCAGAGAGTAACACGGGGCGACACGGAAGAACGGGGACAGTTCGTGTCGTGGGTAGCGTATGGGTGAGATGAGTAGTCGAGTCAGACTGTAAGTGATGGAGGCGCCAGGGCAACAAGGACACCCAGGTGGAGCCTCAGTCATTCATCTTGTGGCTGGTTATGACTGAGTGACTGACTGGTGACTGGGAACAGAATGAAGTCGTCGACGTGAAAAGATGGCCACTTAGCAGAGTGCGAAGAAGGTGAAAAGCGTGAAGGATGTGTTGAGTTCCTTGGAGTCCCTAGAAGAATGTGGAATGGAGTGCTTTACTAATGCGCTAGTTTTTCTTAATCAGGATACGTTTTCAATATTATACGCTTAATTCGACGAGTCTTTTAATGTAATAACATAGCAGATCTCACTTGAATAGTTTTGCGTCTTTTTAGTTGCGATTGCTGCGCTTTGCCTTGTTATGAGCGTCCTTCTTCCATATTAATGACTTCTGAGAAGGGCGTGCAGTTTACCTTCTTTCACTATGATGTGAATGTTCGTCTTTCGGACTAACGAGAAGCTTCCATAGGTTTTTCGAAACGGATTCAAAAACTTAAGAAGTTGGCTTAGGCATGGGAAAAAGGTCTGCCACCGTAAAGACCTATTTAGAGGGAGAGAGAGAGAATGAAATCTCTAACCTTCACTGACAAGCTGGCGTTTAAGAATACTTGTGTAGATTATTGTATTAGGATCAATATGTTATGTGATGACATAAGGACGATGAATTCTTCGGATACTTAGGTTATGTCCTTAGGTTTAAGTTATGATAATTCTGATTAGAATAGTATACAGAGACATGAGAGAAAAAACACTTTAGTGAAATTATTTGGAGTAGAAGCACCACTTTTCAAATGAAATGATAATCAAAAACAACTGATGTAAACCGAATTTAACTTAGTTCAATAAAGAGTGTTCTGAAATATGCGCACGTTTCTTCTTGTGTTTATTCTATAAGAAGGAATGTAGCGTAGTGGTTAGAAGTACCCTGTAAAACTCAAGTGGGCATTGGTTCTATATGGCGCTGTGGAAAAACCAAGTTCTTCACTTCCTCATGGGTCTGTAAGATGTGAAAAACTTCTCTGCAGGGATGGGAACACTGAATTTATAGGTAGAAAGGCCTTTGCAAGTAATTTTATAATCTAAATATGCGTTCAATCACTTTTGACGATACTTGACGAGGCCGACTGCATGGCTTCAGGGATGAATGAGAGGTGAACGGTTTATCCTTTCTTAACCCTTTTATTTACTGCCTTTTTCTTTCTAATGGCAGAGTATGTTGCGAAATATAACTCGTATATAATGCTGAGACATTTGCAAAACTCCGGACCGCAGGTGTTTGCGGTGGGGAACGAACGCGCGCCATTGTCCTTACCGGGGAGTAGCGCACTTCACCACCACACCATCAGGGACCCGGACAAAGTGCGCTACTCCCCGGTAAGGATAATAGCGCGCGTTCGTTCCCCACCGCAAACACCTGCGGTCCGGAGTTTTGCAAATATCTCAGCATTATATACGGTTTATTTTTTGTTTTTTTTACCTGTTCCATGTCAAACATTATGTCATAGAGTGTTTCGATGGGTTTCCTTAATTCCCTGAGATCGGCTTGATATCCATCACATTTTGTTGTTAGTTGTTCATATACTGTACTATCAGAGAACTGTTATCGCTTTTCACAATGTATACCCTGCCGTTAAAAAGAGTAGACGGTAAATAATAAGTTAAAATTGTGATTATAACTGCGGCCTCAGCTAAACTGTCGCCGCTTGTAATCGCCGATTTGTCCCCTTAGATCAATCCCGCTGACGAGTGATTGCTGATGGCAGAAGATCGATAGAGCTAGCTGAGAGACAGGCGAAAACGAAGGACCCGCGTGGTGTGGTGGTGAACGCGTTACTCCCCGGAAAGGGCAATAACGCATTCGTTCCTCACCGCATACACCTGCGGTCCGGAGTTTTGCAAATATCTCAGCACCATTGAGGTTATCGCTTTGTTTTGCTACATAGAAAGTTCTCCTCGAACTGGATTTTACAGCAGGTACGTAGCACATCGTTCCGGCTGATTAACACTTTGACGGGTTAGTAAATCCAATTTCACCTTCTTGACGTTTCTAATGTATTTTAAAGGGTTATTACATTACAGCTAACAGTAGTGTTGTCTCCAGTGAATGACTAAATTTTGTTGTAGTCATCGGCCAAATTCAGTGTCGTCAAAGCCGACGTGTTCCGGAGGACACAAACCTGAAAGCCTGATGAGTTTACTATTAGATGCAACAATAGCTGAGATGTAATGTACTGAGCGCTACATACAGAACGACAGTTGTTGAGTAGCTTCCACTTTGATGCTAGCAGTTTTTTGTTCACACCAAAGTTTTCCTCTTTTTTATATGAACCTATAAAATGGTTTTTTTTATTGTACTGCTGAAACTACGTCGCCAAATTCTGCAGAACAACTGCAATGAGTGTGGATTGCCGTTATCCACCCACTCCGTTGAAAAACACCGAAACTTGCCCTGCTCAGCATGTTCTATTTTTGTATGCTATGAAATTTCTCCAACCTGCTGAATATCTGGTTTAATGTGCTGGTATATATATATATATATATATATATATATATATATATATATATATATATAAAGGATAAAGCTCTCGGTGTTGATCAATCCCTGAGGGATGCGCCATGCATTCGACTTCATTAAGTATCGTTGGAGATTATATAGTGCATAATTGGCCTTTACAATGACTAGCGGTGGCCCACTGATGTATCGAGCCAGTGCTAGTATCCTCCCGGAGAAGTCTGGTACCAATTTACCGAGCCCGGAGGGATGGAAGGTTTGGCGGGCCATAGGCGCGGGATCGTTTCCACGTGTGTGTCGCAGTGGTGCAGTGTTGCCTCCAACCACTGCGCCAGCCTCTCCCTTATACATACATATATATATATATATATATATATATATACGCATAATAATGCGCTGTAGTTCTTCACACTTACTGCGGAATATTGGAATGTGAATATTGGGTCTACTCCGTGGTTTCGTAGAAGCACTTCGTTCCTCGCCTGGTAGCACTAGTATATTCTTCTATAAAAAGTGGACCTATTTTTTCCATTCCTCTTTTGACGCTAGTATGATAAATGATAACAGTACTACTTAATCATTCAGGTGACATTCGGCGTGAAGATCGTTGGTGCTTCTGCACATCTTCCATTCGTTTTATTGTCTTTCATCCGCCATGCGTAAAGGTGGTGGTATTTTTGAGTGCGAGAGTACGGCTACAACTTTAGGATGTCCTATATTCTTCATGCAATGGCTTGTTGAACGGCACTTGAGCATGGTATTCTCTGAAAACGTGGATTTGCCGTGCCGGAATGTTGCGACACCTTCATCAGAAGTAGTCCTCTGGCATTGTCGATTGGAGGGAGGGTTACTGCCTTGCTACTCAGATTTTTCCAGTATCACAGCGACTCCTGTGAAGGTAACCAGTCGCTCAATTGGTCAACATGCCTCGCAAAGGCGACTTTTCGGGCGAAATGCGTGATATTCTGCATCACTTGTAATAGTAGTTTCTCATTCGTCTCCATTGCATGTCGAAACTACCTAGTGTGCTTCATCCGCTTGAGGCATGCGGAGGCTACAACACTATAGATGTGATCCTCTTATTTTACTGCGGAAAACTGGACATGCGTAGAGCCAGGAGGTCGCCGAGCTCCACTAGAGCAGAGATAACACAACTGCTTTCGATGTAGTTCCCAGCCCCTTTTAATTGCAATTTGTGGTCCGTTTAAATATAAAGCTCCCAACGATTTACCGCCTCATCGTGGCTGGGAGGTGTTCCTTGGTGTCGGGCTGTGATGTACAGCGGGGATTCATCCCCTCGGAAAAGCCAATCAGGCTGAAGAGAAGTCCGGCCTTTCGACCAGGAGCTCAGCTAAGAGTAAGTCAATACCAGGCTCCACCACCGTCCTGCTATCAAACTAGTCGCATGGTGGCAAATCTCTTTTTGATCCACAAGAGCTGCGACTGCCTGTGGTGGTAGCGATCTCGGGCAAATTTTGGCCAAGCTGACCTCGGGACTTCAGAGAAACATTGGCTAAATCAGCAAAACTCCGAAAAATGGAACTAATGCTGGGTGCCACACAACCATTGAGGACGGGCCGTTCAAGTATCAAGTACCAACTATCATCCACGGCAGTCTTTGATTTTGCCTGTTGCTTCGTCTTCTGCGTTAAAATTTTGGTCTTCCGAATGAATCTTGCCTAATACTGGATAACCCGATCCAGCCTTTAAATCCTACGATACCCGTCCTAGGGCGTTTCCAGGTTTTCACAACAGGGCGGCACTAGCTTTTATAGATTGCAGTGACCTTGCCAGATTTGTCTGGTACCAGTTCACCGTCTCCGGATGTATGGGAGGCCTGGTTGGCCTGGAGCGGGGTCGAACGAAGGTGTTGCGCGTATTAATAAACGGCAGCTCTGTTAGTGTGCTACAGTCAACCACACACCACTATAACATCTATACAAGTTATCGCTCTGATTTACCAAAATATCATAATGAAAACATGCCTGTAAGTGTTGAATTTCAGTGTTCAAGTACAGCATTTCCATAGAGGAATCTTTGTACTTTCCTCGCTGACAACAGCCGCTTCAGTGAGCATTTTCTATACCAGTGACAGTCTGGCACTGAGGAAAAACAAACTCGCATGATAAAGTGCTTTTGTCTCCATTTTTCGTTTTTTTTTCCACATTTCTAAACAGATCCCGGCTGCAACATCTGTGCAAGATAAGCTATTGATTGGTTGCTGCAAGAGAAACCATCACATCCATCGAAAACGAAAGCGATGCATATTGACTCATATCGGCTGGCATATCCACCCACATGTGGTTAGTTGATAGCAACCAAAATCGTTGAGAATGCGTTAAGCCGTGTTCTCAGTTCTTATGAGGTTCTAAGAAGCCTCTCTTAGTAACGCCGATGCGTTTCATTCGAATGCTATTCAATGAACATCATCATTCATATGTTCCGGTTTTCGGAAATTCTAGTACTGTGATTTTTTGGCAACATAATCCAGAAGAAATTAGCTTATATCTTTTCGAGAGAGACGTGCGAAACGAAGGACCCGCGTGGTGTGGTGGTGAACGCGTTATCTCCTGGAGAGGGTAATAGCGCGTTCGTTACTCACCTCAGACACCTGCAGTACGGAGTTTTACAAATATTTCAACATCTTTGTGGTTTCTGAGTTATCCAGGAAACAGTACGTTCAGTTTGTTTTCACTGGAACAGCTTAACTTCCTAGTAAACTGATAGACGGTATGACTAGGTGGAAATCTGATTCATTGTACATCGGAATCCCATAGTCGGTTCAGAATTCAAATGTTCAATAGTTATGGTCTGCTCGTGGGCGTTTGATTTCCTTTTTAGCTTGTGAAATACTTTCTAAGACTTATGTATTTTCTTCTTTCCATTTTCTCTTCTCTCTTCTTCTCTTCTTTCCTCCTTTCTTCCTATCATCTTATATCCTCTGATGGCTTATATGTTTTCTTTTGTTATGTTTACTTTTATCATGTTCGTATCATCGTTTTCTTATCATATAAAAGTAGTACAACAGTGATAATTGATACAATAATAATAATACAGTGATGCGGTAGTAATAATAGTAGCAAAAATTGTCAATAAAAGCGTTTTGTAAAAGTTTGAAGGGTGCGTGTGGCGCAGTGGTCGGCGGCGTTCCGCAATGCACACATAGGATCGACCCCCGCGCCAGTGGCCCACCAAGCCTTCCATCCTTCCGGGGTCGGAAAATTGGTACTAGACTTGTCTGGTAGAATAGCAGCACTAGCTGGATACATCATTAAGCCACCGCCAGTCATCGGAAAGGCGAGATACGCATTCAACCACCTCCAACGATGCTTAATGAAGGCAAATGCATGGTGCCTCTTTCAGGGATTCACCAACGCCGAGAGCTTTGTCCTTTTTTAATATGTATGAAGAGGCTCCACATCGTTTCAGCCTTACGTCTATGTCCTAGTTCGTTCTGAATTATTCGTACTATTTTACTCAGAGGGTTTCTCATAATTTGTTCTTTTAGGTTTTTCAACTTTATGGACAACGAAGGCGATAGCACAAAGGGACATCTTCTACCATTCAAAGTTTCGAAGGATGAAATTGTTATAGGTATGATATTCTCACTAGTTAACAACGAAGTTCATTTGTTTGAAAAGATGATGCAACGTTGAGACAAGAAAAGCTGTATTTGAATCCGGAAGCTCTTTTTATTATATTGTTATATTCCAGTAAGTCGATACGGGTTTTTAGTCCGAAGGTATGTTTGAGGGTTTCTTAAGTTGTCTGACTGAAAACAACTGGAAATACCTACTCGGATACTTGGATGGCCCCTTCTCACTGATTGTGCGGGGCCCAACATAATCTCCACTTTCTCGGAGATTTGCTGGTTTAGCCATTGTGGTTTTCTGGGTTCCTGAGGTCAGCCAGGCCAAAGTCTGCCCAATAAACGACTAGAAATACAGCGATGAAATTGTCATAGGAGCCTTCTTTTAAGTGGTAACATTTCATTCTTACTTAAATAATGTGAATTACCGATCATTTATTGATTTTTTAGAAAGGAATGACTACAAGGATTTCGTTTTTAAAGCGTATGTGATTATAACTATGACATGGTTATGGACGGGGTTCACTCTAACGGTTCGCTATACGAGGACAACCGTACCGAAGAATGAGGTTGACAATTCCCCCAGTATTCCTTCTTTTTCTCTGTTTTCTTTTGCTACAGCGTCAAGCAAACAGGTACTTATGGAAATCTTCTACCGCGAATTTATCCAAGGTTGTTGTGTTCATGAAATTGCCATTGTACAACAAAAAATTACCGTTGATTCACTTGCATTTCTGTAACCTCTAAAGAAAAGAAAGCCTTTAGAAGTCAGTGGAGAAGTTGCTACGAAGATTATGATGATAGTGAACAACTCCTTATCAGTTAGATTGAGTTCCTTCTGTGCTGAGGTTGTGGCCAAATTTTTAGAAGTACTTTCCAGTCATTCTTTTCGATGTGGTTGAAGGCTTTTACTTACTTACTTGGATACTTCGTTGGGCCGTCCTTACTTGCTGTGCGGGCCCCATCATAATTTCCACTTTTTGGAGTTCTGCTGGTTTAGCCATTGTGGTTCTTTGGAGCCCTGAGGTCGGCCAAACCAAAGTCTGGCCCAGGTCGTAACCACCATAGGCAGTCACTGCCGTTGTGGATCAAAGGGAGATTTGCCACCATGCGACTAGTTTGGTCCCAGGACGCAGACGGATCCTGGCATTAGTTTAATCTTGGATGGACGTCCTGATGGAAACGCTGGACTCTTTCTCAGTTTGAGAGGCCTTGCTGGATGGGTGAATCCCCCACTGTACATCGCACCCCGATACCCAAGAACACCTAGCCACAATGATGTAGTAAACTGTCGGAGAGAAGGCTTTTACTACATAGAAGTAATACACTTAAAGTTTTCTTTTTCAGCTTTACGCATCTTCGACTGTCGTTTTAATGGCAGAAATTACAAAAACCATAATTTCATTGCTAATGCTGTTGAAGGAGAGCCGTTTCATATTTCGGGATTTCTATTCGGTAGGTTATTTTGGTGTTTTTAGACTCTGTTCTTTTTTTTTCTTTCTCTTTTGTTTTCTAATCTTCAATTCTTGTAGTCTCCAAACAATTTGGGCACATTACCTTAAATTTCAGCTCATAGCATCGTGCTAAGCCAGAAAGGGAATGGTGAGAAACTGGGAATACTTCTTTATATTAGGTATTAGGTATATTAGGAATAGTTCAATACTTTATGTTAGGTTCACTAGGCTTTGTTGAACCTATTAATTTGTTTGCTTAAGTTCTCTTTTTACAAAGAGGGCCTTATGTGTGAAAGTATTACCTTTATTTGCAACTCTTCTTGCAAATCCCGAGGAGTTCATGGGGTCTTGTGGCTACAAAGTTTTAGAGTGGTCTTTTTCCATTACAGTGTATCCGGAAGTACTACTTAGATGCTCCGAATGAACTGTTCAAGATGAGTGTGCCATCGATAGCCTATGCTATTCAGAATAACCTTGACTTTGTTGCTCTCACAAATTTAGACGCTGGCTTGTACCAGGTATGTGTTAGTCGGTATCTTTTTGTTTAGGAGATTCTTTAAAGCGATTTGCAGAGTAGATTTTTCAAGGGACATACAAATGATTTCCGTTAAGGTTACGACGCAGTTAAAAGTGGTCACTACAGCTATATTCATGATGATTTTTCTTGGTCGAAGATTCTCCAAAATAAGGTGGATAGCAATTATTCTACTTTTTCTTGGGGTCGCATCTGTACAGGTTAGTGAAGAAAGAATCTTGGTTAGCGAATCTCCTACTTATTCTAAAACAGTTCTACTGGCCGTTACTGTTAGTTACTGCATTCAAGCTCAACAACATTGAAGTTGGGAAACAAAATAGTGGAGGTAATTATGTCGTTGGAATGATAGCTGTCTTAGCTACTTGCGTGACTGCTGGATTTGCAGGCTAGTGTCTTTCTTCTGTAAAATGTACTTCTAAAACTACATTTACTTATTGCCTTAGGTGTGTATTTCGAAATGATGTTGAAAGGAGGTGGAACTACTCCATTTTGGATGCGAAATCTTCAGATGTACAGTTGTGGTGTGGTGAGAGTTATTTATATTGTGTTGAATTTTAGCACAGTGTGTTTAGTCTTTCAAATATTTTTATCTTTTCTGGGGACTCACATGTTACTCACTGCACAAACGAGAAAACGCCCTTGCTGTTCTAGGAAGTGGGTAACATGTCAGCCCGTAGGAAGGGTAGTCGCGGGTTCGAAGCTGCCCCGGAGTTCCGTGTTTTGCAAATGTCACACCACCGTTGTGGCTCTACTTCACATATCACCCTGACATTAGAAAATATGCAGTAAAAAGTTAAATATTATGATTTTTATCTTGCTTCTGTAATCGCAGTCATTGTTTAGGTGAGTTCTTTTATTGGTTGTTTGTTTTCTGAAGGCGACTTAGTCGCTGAACGAGGATTCTTTTATGGGTACGACCTGAAGGTCTGCACTATTGTTGGTAGGTTATCATTCTGGAGACTCGTGAGTTCGCTAACAGATTAGATCTTATGCTGTTAGTTCAAAAGTTTATAGAAAGTTTACAAGGCGAGGTTTTTTGGATAGTACTTACCGATGTTTTCGTATAGATTTTAGACATTCTCGAAAAGAAAATATGCTTTGTAGGGTTCTTGTCCTTCGGTGGGACATACATATCGTTGGTAATGAAGTATTTGGACAATCTTCACAAGAGTTTCGCGTCTGCCGTTTCTATTATTTTGGTTGTTATTTTGTCATATCTCCTTTTCAATAACGTGTTTATGGGTGTCTATTTTATGGGTGGTACTGCCTTAGTCATATTTTCAATCCTGCTCTATAATTCGGTTCCAGAATAGCCTTTTTCATCCTCGTTATGAGTATATATCTGGTATATAAAGTTTAAGACTTTCACAACTGGATTATATGCGATGTATCTACGGATGTTCATTTCGTGTAAGATAATTTATCCACCCCAGTGGCTTAACGCCTCACTGTGCTGTTCTTAGCTGTAATAGTGCTATGTATGCCGGGAGTACGGGAATATCCCCAGTCGAGGAATACGTTACTTTCCCACGCTCTCTCCGCAAGCGCATCCTTGGGAAGCGTTGGCAGGAGTGTGGTTTACTCATGCTGACCGAGTCACTCGGAGGTTAATGGAATTACAGGTTATGCAGGCGAGATTATATAAGATGCTTTTTACTTCCAAATGGTATTATCCGACGTAGTTTCCTTGCTGCCCTCTCAAGTCATTCGAATGGTTGCTAGGACAGGTTGTGCCATTGCTTTCTCGTAAGGTAGGTGCCCAATTAAAGTGTTCACAGTGGACCAACTATGATGTTCGGACGGTGTACCGTCTTATTGTCAAATTTCCACTGATGTTATGGTTATATTGGTTGAAGATTTGGTATTACACAATATCCACCTTTTGCAGGTGTTACTGAGTTTAGTTGGGTTTAAGTGGAATTCCCTCTTGCATTGTGTGTTTCATGTACCGAGATCTCTTTGTTGTTGTTGAAATTATGGACTCTAGAGATTTTGATGACTTGTCATAACTGATAGTATGACGTCTACACATCTTTCCTATGATATCAATTTGCCTAAGTAGATGTTCATTTGGTGGCATTGGTGGCACAGTTATGTATTAATTAGAAGGCAACTCGTAGTTGTATCCTGACATCGTTCAACTTCATGTGGTGCATATTTTAACACCTATGTGGCTATGAGGAACAAAAACAGTGTATACTAGAATGGTGAAAAGGAAAAAGTGTACGAACCGCTTGATAGTTTCCCTGGAAAATAGACGGACTCCTGCTGTCTCGTGCCAACAAGCAAAATTTGCTTCGTGGATTTCGATTACGTTAAACTTCGAGTAAGTTAGAAGGTATGCCTTATGTTTCATGGACTTGGATTTCATAGTGGCTTTCCATTTGTATTTCTACATCATTATGATGCTTTGCTATACTGAACCATCAGTTGTGGCCCTTTCGGCTTGTCCAATGACTTGCTTGCGTAGTCTTTTAATGCTCTTCTTCTTGTGGTAATTAAATGGACGTTTCTTTGGGCCATTCTCTCAGTCAAAGATAAACTTGTATACCAAATGGTGCACTAATCTATACGGGTTTTTTGCATCCAGGCTGAAATTATTGATCCACTCCATATTGATTGTCATCGAGGTCCAGTGTCCGTATGGTACTGCATTTTTTGATGGTTTTGTGTTCATCTCCATCCTCAGACTTACTTTCTTTGAATTTTATGATGATGAGGAACACAAAGGATTCCCAAGACCGACTTTATTTTAACCTCGGCATTGATTGATAATTCGATGTTTTTCTTCAATATGCAGATACGAAGTTGTTATTATAGAATTTATTAGGATACAATAACTGACGTTTCGGCGGTTTCGCCTGATTCAGAGCCTGGAAAAGTCAAATTGAGATGGATCTGCTCAACCAAACACTTTCATAACCCCAGCAGATAAAACTTAACAAATAAATTTGTATTCGCATAAGAAACAGCTTCATTTAAACACCTACCGTTTATTTATTGTAAGTATTTAAGTTAGTTGATGGATAGCAGCCGCACAGAGTAATACATGGGCGATAACTCAACTAACTAACTTAAATACTTACAACAAATAAACGGCTCTGAAGAAAGCGAAACCGCCGAAACGTCAGCGATTGTATCCTAATAAATTCTATAATAGCAACCTCGTATCTGCTTATTGAAGAAAAACAACAAATGATTCCATTCTCACCTCAGCGTTTTCAGTTTCCTGTACACTCTTGGATACTTGGATAGGTGAATGGCTCATTCTCACTAGTTGTGCGGGCCTCAGCATAATCTCTATTTTTTTTGGAGTTTTGCTGGTTTAACCACTGCTGTCCCCTGGAGTTCCGAGGTCAGCGAGGCCAAAATTTGCCCTAGTTCGTCACCACCAGAGGCAGTCGCCACATTTGTAGATCAGAGGGGGATTTGCCACGATGCGATTAGTTTGATAGCAGGGTGGTGGTGGACCTTGGTATTGGTTTACTCTTAGTTTCCTGATAGAAACACCAGACGCCTTCTCAGCCTAGGAGAACTTCCTAGGGGGATAAATCTCCTCGCTGTACGATGCAGCTCGACACCCAGAAACACCTGCCAGCCACGATGAAGCAGTAAACCATTGGAGTGTGGGTTCTTGTACATTCTCCACAATAATACAGACGTGACAGTGGAAAATGAAAATACGGTCAGTGGAAGATACGGCTCGCCAAGCAAAAAGGCAAGGACTTTCCACCCATGGTCAGAAAGTTGGTACCAGACTTTCTGGAAGGGTAGAAGGTCTTGACTATTGTATTGGTTGCCAATCGCAAGTCGTTATGTGATCCAAATATTCATTCAGTCACATCTACGAATCTTGATGAAGTAGCATAGCATTGCTTAAGAATCGATCAACGCTGAACGCCTTACCACTTATCCATCACGTTAGGTTATGCTTATGCTAAAAATGCATACTGTTTATCTTGTTCCGTGTCTTCGAGCGTAGAGAAGTGTTCAAAAATAACTCTGTATACGGTGCATGTGAAGGACGTGGGACTAGCGGAGCATAGAGATGTCGTACGATACTAAACGCATGGTCGCTGGTTCGACCCCACTAGGCATGCTTCCCTTCCGTTCGGACCCAGAAGATTGGTAAAAGAATTTGTTTCGAAAGCTCTCTCCTCACAAACTCTGACGACTGCCAATCGTGAAAAGTTGGAAAACATCACTAATGTCGACAAGTCGACCAATAAACATTATCTAGTAGAAAATAATATCCTCTATAGTAACTTCATTCTATATATCTTCTGATAGTGATTGACGTCTAGCCAGATGTGACGCAAAGAATTATCTGCAACAACGACAACAACGATAGCGGGTCACCCAACTATAATTAGCATCTATCAGCACAATAAGAGCGGTCACCAACGATAAACAGCATCTGCCCATAAATTCAGGTTGTCAAGAATAAAGGATATGTTGGTATAAACAATATCATAGACTTTCAATACCAAATGGAACACAATATTGTTTATGCATTTGCCACCATAATTGTGATATACGAGGACGACGCAAGGGTCAACAACAGTACCCATCTGCCCGCCCCCTGAGGCAGTATAAAAGGACCGCGGTCTGCTGGTGAGGCCCACATGTCGGAGTTCCTCCCACTCGCCATCTCAGTTCCTGCCACATACCATCTTCGTTCACTTCTTGTCATAGAATTGCTCTACCGTACTTTATTGTAGGGAACCTCTCAGACAGGCACTGATCTTCACTAGCATACATACTTATCATGACATTGTATCTGTAAGAGTTAAGCAGTATTCTGTAGTTTTGTTGTATGTTAACACCTCACTGGCTTAAGCATTGTCTTTTCTCTTCACATTCCTCACTACTAGTACGGTAGCTAACTACGGTATGCCATTCGCGCCAACAACCATCTGGTCCCATTGGTACCCGCGCTACCATATGCTCTTCACCTCTATAGGTCAAATTGTACTTTTATATGAAAGCTCTCTCTCATATTAACACAATAGCCAATGCAACTGCTGTCCTACTTTAAGGTACCTTTTTACCGATTGTCTTACGCTTATTTGGTAATCCTGTTATTAACGCTCCACTTATACTGTTTTTTAGTATCTTATTTTTGTTATTATTATAATATTGGTATAAACGGTTTAATTACCCAAGTTTGAGATTTACGCTGTGAAGACAACAACCACAAGACCCGCGTGGCGAAGAACGAGCAAATACAATTCGTTCAAGCTAGCAGATCAACACCGCGTGGAGCTGCACTCAAAGGAGCAAGCCAACCACCAAACTTTCACGTGGAACCCTAGTCGTTGGTTCATTGGGCAATCATAGTCTACAGATCAATTTGTAGTACCCTAGAACTACGATACCTATTTCTTGACTCTCAATTCACAGCGTCTCAGACGTCAAAGGGTAAATACCTATATTGCAGAACCATCAAATAATAAGGATCGCAAAACAGATCCACTTTCGAGAGTCAAGCAGAAACAACAACTAGTCGATAGTCCGTACACTATCTAATATTTACTACAACCTAATATTCTCACCACTGAACTTCTCACTACTACTAAGTAGTGAGTGGCTCAACGGTTGCTACCACGCAAGTGCATCCATCGCAGCCGCCACTATACTATATACTATAGAGCTATCCCAGGATTACAAAGAGAATCAACTCGACCACCTTTCAGCTACATTCAATAAGAAAATTCTCATGCACCAGGTAGACCTCCACGCAAGTCCGTTCGGCCTCCAGATGATGGACACGACGAGACGAATCGAAAGAAGAAAGTGCTTGGGATCTGCAAAATATGTAAAATCGAATCATACAAATATTTCTATCAGTCCTACTGCGAAGTATAGCAGCAGAATTATGCTACAGGAGGATATTTCCGTTCTGAACACAGCCAGGAGAGGAATTTTGCCAGAAACAAAAAGCGGCAAATCCTATCCACAAAAAATGAGTGCTTCCGGTAGTGGCTTAGAAAAACTTCACTTCGCTTGGAACTTCAGGAAGAAAAATTCCAGTAATTCTTTCGGAGGTAGGAAGTTGGTTTAGGAAAAACAGCATAAATTAAAGTACATCCTTGTCTACTTCGGAGCACACATCTACGTGTTCGTTCCTGATTTCTGAAAATTAGTATTTCCTAAGGACAACAACAACCAGATGTGGGAATTTTTTCTCAAGCAATTTAAACAGTACAAAGAACAATTCGATGAATTTCGTCCATATATATATATATACATATATATATATACATATATATATAAATATATATACATGGGATCGATCCCCGCGCCCCTGGCTTACCAAGCCTTCCATTCCTCCGGAGTCAGCAAAGTGGTACCATACTTGTCTGGGACGATAGTAGCACTGGCTCGATACATCGGTAGACCACCGTGAGTCATTGTTAAGACTAGATATGCATTCAGTGGCCCCCAACGATGCTTAAGTCGAATGCATTGCGCATCCCTCAGCGATTGATCAACGCCAAAAGCTTTATCCTTTATTTATTTATGTATTTTGCGATCTTAAGTTAAGTTCCTAAAAATAAACATGAATGAACGTCAACTACAATAAATCGGTAGGAAACAGAAATCTGTCAACATTTCACAAAAACAAGCAGGAGAATGATAAGAACAGAATGGTAATGATACAACGGTTGATGATTTCGTAACAGTCATGACAAACAAGCTCATCAGATGCCACTATTCCCAACAAATGAAATTTTTCTTTATGAAAAACCAACAATTCGATGAATTTCGTCCATATTTTGTTCAGCGATCGATTTCGCTAATTTACCATTTTCGAATAGGATTTCAGCCACCTGAAATAGAATGAAAACTTCATATTCCTACATTTACTTCAGTATATCTTACCAATAAATAATGAAGAGACAGCAAAAGTATGACGTCATTCTTCATTTTCAATGAAGGAAGAAGCTACGGCATTATTTTTTCCCCTTTTAATTCTCTTTAGTTCGAGTTCTGGTTGTTTGTCATATTAACGTTGGTGTTGGCCCAAGCCTGTCTGGATGATATCATGATAAGCAGGATTTTGGCCTCTACAGCGACAACGGCACTTGGTACGATTATACAGTTGCGTTTGACGTTTCGACATCATAATGAACGGCAACCTATTCTGCCAGATTTTAAAACCACACTTTGTTATTAGGAGGATGCATAGCACAGTAGTAGTGACGCTGGTACTGCTTCGAACCCGCCCCAGGCTTGCCGAGCGTCTCATCCCTCCGAGGTCGGGGAATTGGTACCGGTCTTGTCCAGGAAAAAACCACTTTTTGCAACCCATGTGCGAATGTTCCATCCCCGCTATCGCAGGACCCTAGGAAGAATCGTCTCCACCACCATTCTACGGCCTTCAAGATAAAATGGAAATACTCAGGCAGCAGCCGCAGCCACACCTAGATATTAGAAGAACTTCGTGGATGATCGATCCGAGGAAACGAATCGAATATGAAAAGTGCTGGAATCCGCAAAGCAGATGTGAAGACGGGTCGCACGAAATAAAAGCAAATTTTGTTACCGTATAAACCAAAGTACATAATCGTTGTCGCGCTCAAGCATGAGCAATTTCTCTCTGATTGGAAGAAATTTCTTCGCCACAGCTCTGGATAGTTGCATTTTCAATTCGAATTGATCCCAACCACTTTCCACTACCGTTGATATTTCACTTCCAGTCACAGCACAGTAGAGATCAATCTGTAACGACAACTGTGCTGCGTTTAACACCGTGACACACTGCACTTTCAAATAGGTCTTTTGCATGGAGACGTTCAAAAGTTAGGGAAGAAGTTGCGGACGAAACTATGGCAACTACCGATTCAGAGAATACTTCTGACAAAATCTTTCTGCATTGCTAATTCAGTAGCGTATAATCGTTTGAATTAGAAAGGAAACTTACCAAATTACTAATCGCAGGCCTCCCTTGGGGATCATAGGAAAGTTGCGAATTGGTGTCGCTAACGGCTTTCCGACATTTCTCTTCGATCTCTTCTGCTGAGTCACTAATCTAAAGAACACTTGTGAACATCTCCGTTGATTGAATTTCCAAAATCCGAGAAAAATAGGGTTACTTAGGAGACCTTTAGCAATTTAAAGCCGGTGGTGCTCAACATAATCAACTATTCTACTGATACTCCACTACTCATTATGATGCTAGCAATTTTTTTGATCGCTGAAGAAATTGTAATGCGTTTGGTGAACATTAACAGCTCCAACAAGAGCACAAACTTTTCTTATAGTTAAAATTTTATTACACTTACTACCGTGCAGTTTAAAAAAACAGAAGATCGAAAATGAAAGTACAACTTTTCACTTAAGATAAAAAAGATGAAGCTCTTGGCGTTGATCAATCCCTGAGGGATACGCTATGCATTCCACTTCATTAAGCATCGTTGGAGGTGACTGAATGCATCTCTGGCCTTTACAATGACACGCGGTGGCCTACCGATGTAATGAACCAGTGCTGCTGTCCTCTCAAACAAGTTTGGTATCAATTTTGAGACCCTGGAGGAATGCAGAGCTTGGTGGGTCTGGGCGCGGGAATTGATCCAATGTGTACTGCAGGGCGCCTCCGACCGCCACACTACACGCATCCTTATGCTTCGGAACTTTCTATTTACTGCCTATTATTTTTCACGGCAGGACATTATTTGAAATACAACCACAATGATGCTGAGATATTTGCAAAAGTCGGAACCCCAAGTGAGCTTGCAACTCGCGATTACCTTTCCAGGGAGTTGACGTGATTAACTGGGTTGAATGCCGATTTGAGCTCTCCAGATCATTCCCTTTCATAGGTGATTTTCAATGCACCATTACGGTAAAAAAAACTGATTGACAGAAAGCCTAAGAAGGACCTCGGTGGTGCAGCAAATAACACGCGAATCCCTGGAAAGGCTAATTGCGAGTTCGAAGCTCACCTGGGGTTCCTAGTTTTGCGAAAACGAAAGTGTTTAAGTTTAAATAATTCCGAGTACTACGCACAAGAGAGACGGAACTAAGCAGGAAGGGACACACTACTTCATAACCATTTTGCATAAGATCCCTTTTTGTTAATAGTACTGGCTGTATTAAGCAATGGACCTTGTGGTTAGACAACTCGAATAGCGTATAGGTAAATCAAAGCGCTTACCTCTAGTCTGGATTTCGCACTCGGTTCTGATTTACTCATTTTCTTTAGAGGATTTCGTAAACTTCGCACACGTGACGAAACCTGCCTTATTACCTAAAAATGAACGAAACGTCCCTTGTATGAGGCGACTGTGGTAGCGTTGTCAATTGAACACTTGCTCTACGTGAAGAGGCTCACCATTGTGTAAAGGTGCAGAAGTCGCTTATCTGAAGAACTCTGTATGTGATCATTCTACAGAAGACAGTTAGCCGAGATTACCTATGAAATTACCGTCCAAGTCCTCTGTTAAGTGCTCATTACAAAGTTTAAAATGAGGATTATTGTACTGATATGTTTTATTTATATGATCTTATAAACTGATCTTCTTAAGCTGATGCGAGGTTGGTATAGGTCTTCGCTGTCGTTGCTGTTGGTCTGTTGGTGTTGTCGGTCGATGGCTGACGTCCCGGCGATTTCGCCTTCCTCAGAGCCGTGGTGTTGCGAGTGGGATGAGAGAACGTCAGCCATCGACCAACAACACCAACAGCAACGACAACGACAACGAGGACCTATGCCAACCTCGCATCACCTTAAGAAGACCAGTATATACGATCATATAAATAAATATATCAACTGTCTATGCCGAGGTTTATAGAAAGTCGGTCTTTTGAGTTATTATTCTCTTGCGCAGAACAGTAACTTTGTTGACAGCGGAACAAGTTCAGGAAGCCAGATCCCAATAGGGATTGTGGTCGAAGAAATCCTTAGGTAGCACTAACCTTTTGGACCGACTTCGTCGACAATGAAATAAATTTCAACATCGCCTATTTAGTACTACTACATCTTATGAAGCCACTCTGTGTAGAAAGCTCAACAAGCTGATAGCGCAGCCGCTCTGCTGTGGTACAGCTCCTCAATCCTAGCTACCAATCCTATGGAAAACGTACCCAAATTTTAAGCATCACCTCTACAACACACTTATTCACCACCGCATTCCTGTAGACAGAAAGTCGTAGTCATGGATGGTGCACTTCTAGCAATCCCTTGTTTTGTCGACAATATTGTCATCTACTAGTGAAAATGTTTAATGAGTTCAATGAAACACAGAAGATGGGACCTAAAAATAACGAAAGTCTCAATGTAAGAGGAACCAGCATAGCGTATTCGTGATCGAGCGACTATAAGCACATCTAAGACGAAATACATGGTATTGGTTAACTGATAAAGGAACTTGATGAACAAAAAAGACACTAGATTGGTCCCTAAAAGGTTGAAGAACAGGAAGATCACCTAGGAGCTGAGGAACTTCTTGGTGGCTGCTCAACCTGCTTTCTACATAATTAGACACGACGACAGGATGAACAGAGGTTATAGCAATAAAGAGAATATCCCGTAGATGACGTAGAAGAGGAAACATAACATGGACGTGCAACCTGTGAAAACGGGCAACTGATGTAAGCACACAAACTACATTTGACAATAATCAGTAATGAGATCAACATCCATCAAGACCCATCTGCTTTGGTGATGGAAAACACTTACTTACTATAATACCGAAATAAGTAAGCGGTAGTATAATTTATTTTTTGACTCTAATCTTTAAAAGCGAGTGTGGGAGAAAAGCGTGACATCACTTAGAAAACCCACCTGCTTTGGTCGTGGAAAATAGGAAACTTTATAATGTGAGTTGAAGTGAGTAGCTAAATCCGCTAGAAGATTCATGTGTTGTGCTTGATCGGCTCCAACTGGAACGTGAGTTGCCTGAAAATCAATGGATAACATCAAGCACATGAATTTATGTACAAGTTTGTAAAGGCGTAAATACCGAGTTCGAAAAAACTTGGAAATAAAAAATTTGCATACTCTGATAGAGTCGGTTACTTTTCAGATACGAGATTGTACTACTAAGTGACAGATCCTGAATGGATAGACCACTTGGTCGAACTAGTTTCTGATTCGAAGATGCGACCGTTTGCAAAGGACTAACACCCGATCTCAACTTGTACTAAAGTTATTCAAACCTGAGGGGTGAATAGCGCAGTGGTAGTGATGCCGTTCGCCACAAACACAGTGCTGCTGGTTCCCACCGGGATGGGGAAATTGGTATCACACTTATTTGAGAACATTTAGTGTCTGAAATCCAAGTGAAAACGCTCTAGGTGGGTCACCCCAGGATTGTAGTGAGATTCTACTTGACTAGTATTCGACGATTTTCATTTAGAAGGCAATTCGCAAATAGAAGTCGAACCCATACGTAGAAACTTCGAAGACTGTTGTGGATGAGGGATGCGTGAAACGAATTGAATACAAGAAGTGCTGGGATCCGGACACTAGATGTGGAGACGGGTGATGTAAAAGAGAAAGAAGTAATAAAATCTAAAACAAGAAAAGAAATCTTCTTAAAAATAAAAATTAGCATACTTGGTTAAACCCCACCTTGAACATCAGAACATCAGCAGCTTGAAGTACTGGGTAAGTGAACAGACCAAGTGGTACATTCCCTTGCAAAAATCTGTATTGAGAATGGATCATTCAAGATCGCTTGAAAAAAAAGGGATATCAAGAATGACACATACCTAATGGTGATCTATGCTTATCCCTTAATCAATAATAAGATAACATAGGTGGAAAATCCCCCAAAAATGGTTTACCTCCTTACCGCTACTTAGACGTTCTGTGTGTTGAAATGAGACATGGAGAAAAAGGTTCATTTTTCAACAAGTTTACCCCAAATTGAGAATAAGCTGGCAATTTTCAATTTCTGTTCGAAAGCCAAGTAAACAGTACACTGGATCGCTGAGATCCAGGAAGAAAGCTAAATGCAAGGCGAATTACTTTTTTCATATTCATAAAGGGCAGCCACTGCCCAATCAGAAAATCCTCACTACGCCGAAAAATATGTTAGGGCCTATAAACTAATTAAGGCTAATCTAAAAATCTACTAATCTAATCTAAGTAGTTAATTTAAGACTAAGATTAAGAGAATTTTCGAAAGAAAGTTACGCCTGTGCCCACCGATTGATAAAGAAAGACCACCCAAGCAAGTCATACAGCTAAATGATGGAAAGTGTTAAAAAGTAGTGAGTTACAGTGAGTGCTCGCAGTCATCCGCATCTACTCTGCTTTGGATTTCAATCTTTTCTTCAGAACAAAGTACTTCTTCATCACACATTGTTTCAAGAAATATATGCGACATACTTGGTAGCTTTTTCTTTGAACTGCGTCAACCGCTGCAACTGTGCAACAGTCTGCAGAGATCCGAGAATCCACGACAGCTGGGCGATTTGTGGCACGCTGCTCTGTCGGAATAGTAGTGTCCGTTTCGGATCCACTCCACACGCAAGTAGACTAGCCACCATTCGACGAATGTTCTCGCGTAGCTGATTTAGAACAACTATGGAGATGAATTTTGTATCTAATAACTGACAGCTCAAGTAACAGGAATTCTTAATCTCATTATCATCTTCAAACAGAGTCAACTGACTCATTCAATGAAAAGCGGCAGATAGTGTTTACTAGTGTTGCTATCTAGGCGAGAAACAAAAAAAAGGGAAAAGTGGGAAGGGATTGGTTGAAAGTGTTGAAACAAACCTCTTCAACTGGCCTTGGACCTAATGATATCGCATGCTGATCTGCAACTGCCAAAATCATCTTCGTTGTTGAGGGCAGGGACTGAAAATTTTCCAGTACATGGGTTCAAATATAACATATTAGTGGAGTATGCAGCGTAGCAATACGATAACTTATCAATTAAAAGACCGAAATATCTGCTCTTAATAGAGTAAAGTCTTTTAAAAAATCAGATGTGGTGTGGAAAGGATAAAGCTCCCGTCGGTGATCTGTCTCTGAAGGATGCGTCACGCAGTCGACTTCGCTAAGCATCGTTTGAAAGTGATTGAATGCATATCAGGCCTTTGCTCACTAATGATTCATGGTGGGTGGCTTACCGATGTACCGAGCCAGTGCTGCTATTCTTCCAGACAAGTTTGGTGTGGTACAAATTTGTCAACCTCGAGGAGATGGAGGGCATGGTGAGCTTTAGGCACGCGATCGATCCCATGTGCATTGCAGGGCGTTTCTAACCACTGCGCTACACGCGCTAAAACTGATTACAACTAGACTTATTTCATTTCCCAACCGTTTGAAAGTTTCTCTATAGAAAGCAATAGAATCGAAAACCCACATTTTGAAGTTGTATCCACGGCTCGATGAATCCAAAATAGTTGCCGAGATGTGGCACACCTGTTGGTTGAATACCCGAAAAGTACACTTCAAGGTGTTGTCGAGTTTCGGAAAACCTACGAACTATACGATACCACATAACCTATTTCGATTTCCAATATTAAGTTCCGCAAACCTCTGAAAAATAAAAGTACAGAATGAAAATATAATCGAATCATCGTCAGACTATCCATAAATGTTATGGATTTCACACGCTACAGTAGTGTTTCGCTAGCTCATTACAAGGAGAATTTATGTAGCTCTATTTTTTGATGTAAACATTTCCAGAAGGACCTTTGCCTACTTACTACTTCTCACTCCTGATTTCTTCCTACTTTACTTTCTCTCTATCTTTCTTACTTACTTCCTTCTTTCTCTTATTTTTTTTAAAATATGACTCGTCTCCCAGATTTACTGTGCGGATTCCAGCACTTCTCAGATTCGATTCATTTTCTAACATCCACCATCCACTAAGTTCTTCCAACTTCTACGTGTGGCTTCGGCTACTGCCTGAGGATTTTCATTTCATCTTGAATGTCGTAGAATACTGGTCGAGGAATTCTCCCTGGTGTCCTGAGACAGCCGGGTTGGAGCGTTTCGAATTAGATTTTCTCGGACAAGTCCGGTACCAATTTCTCTACTCCGGAGGGACGACGGGCTTGGTTGGCCTAAAGCGGAATTGAACTAGCGCCATACTCGTGGTGACCGACATCACTACCATTATGCTATCCGCCCCATTTCTTTCTGCTATAATTATGCGAGCTCTTCGATTCCGGGAGTATTTAACATTAATCTTTCCGGCACAAACTATCACAATTTCAGTGGACTGGCAGATAGTAGGATTCCCCTTGGCGGATACTGGGTGATGTATTCGTCAACAGTTTGAACCAAACATACTACTGGTCTTCTCAGCAGAGGTTCAGTTAACTTATGTAACCTATGAAAAATCATGCCTAAAAGAATAATGTAAGAATTGGCACTACCTCAAACAAGCTAAAAGCATTAAGAAGGCGACGGGTGAGAAGACAGAACAAAAGTTTAAGAAAATATATTAAACCTGCACCTTTCTTTCAAATGCACCAGTATATGACCCCAGTGGTTTACTGCTTCACTGTGGGTAGTATGTTCTCAGGTTAGGTCACATATAATATGTAGTTCGGCATTTAAGTCTGGAAACGGAGCTAGTAGCAAACTAGCAGTTATACAAAGAGGGTCCCGTACCAAGACTACGGTGGTCTTCATATCCAACGAATGAGCGCAATCCACTAGCACATATGCACGTCAGAAAGAAATAAAGGCTTTACTAGTAGACAATCGAGTAGCTGCCCGATGATTAACGTGAGTATAGGGCAAATCTGATTTTTTCTGAATCTTATTAGCAATCAAGGTCCGATAATATATTGGTCGTACAACTAAGAAGTATATGAAGACAAAGAAACAACAGTCTTTATTCTTTTCTTTCAATCGGTACCGTCATTTCTTTTCGCCCATCCGTCTTGATTGTTTAGCCGGCAGTAATGACAACAAACAGCAGTGAATGTAGATAAATCAGTGCATGAGAGAACCTCAAGGTTTCATTTTAACGGATTAATGGAAAGAACGTCTCGAACAGCTCTTGATGATTCCGTCCCAGTTATCAACTCACATATTATGACAACATATAGCTCCATTTATTATATTTGTCCCTTCTCTACTGACTAGTAATTAACTTCTACAGAGTCAGTTACTTAGCTCAAACTGCTTCAAGAAAATGATAGGTGAGGCTCAGGACCAACATTCAAGAGTGTTATAAAACAACATGAACAACAGTACAAAATGCTGCTCTATAAAAGTATTTTTGTGAAAGAAGAGTTACAGTCACATGTAATAATGCAATCTGGAAGAATTACAGGTTCAGCAGAGGCACAACTTGCGAAGGCTCGAATAGTGCTCTGCAGTTGGGACAGCGTATTTCACTGTCTTCACTTACAGCGTGCTCCTGGAAAATAATGTGAATAAAACACCGTGACCAGTTAGCCATTAATTCTAGCAATAACTAACAGTTAAGTCTAAAACTTTAAAAGGGCTCTGCGTTAACCAATCCCTTAGAGATGCGCCACGCATTCGACTTATTTAAGTATCGTTGGAACCGAGTAAATGCATATCTGGCCTTTACTCACTAAATGACTCATGGTGGCCTACCGATGTACCGAGCCAGTGCTGCTATCCCTCCAGACAAGTAAGGTACCAATTACCCGACCATGAAGAGATAGAAGTCTTGATGAGCCTGGGGCGCAAGAATCGATCCCATGCGTATTGCAGGTCGCCTCCTATTACTCCGCCACACGCACCTCTATTCAACAGTTATTAAGCAATATGTGATAATCAGCGTTGCACCATCAAAAAGAACTCAATACCAGTCACCAAAAGAAAAGGACCAAATCAACTGATCCCGATTTTCCCACCTTTCTAAAACTTTTACTTTGTACCATTTTTTCTACATTGCCGTCATAGTCCCTTCCCTCTAACCCTTCTGTGTTCTTTTGCTTAGTTCATCACTTGCTTTCCAAGCATGCCTTCCACAATTGGTTTCTATGAGATGATATTAACTGTGATTTCGATGATAGACTCGTAATTCTTTGCTACGGCCTAGTTTCACTCTTAGCTGGGGTTTCAGAAAGCTCCTCGGCTCGGGAGATCTTATTTGGGAAATGAACTCCCCTGCACATTCAGTTATTCGCAAGAACGCACTTCGTCAGAATGTGTAGAAATAATTCAAAAGAAGCCGTAAAAATAATACCAGAAAATTGTCCAGCAATATTTCACAGCGTACAATGTGTGAAACACTAGAATAAGTTGCACTACCTGTATACAATTCCAGCAAAAAAGATGACCACAGGATGTAGTCGACGGTGAGCGGCACTCAAGACAAACAGGACATCGGAACCAAGCATGAGGGAACGGAAATAAAAAGTTTCAAAATTCTCATATTTGACTGAAACATATACAATTTATATGTTGTAATATCTAATAGTTCATACATAATTTACAAAAGAGACAGTCGAAACGAAGGACCCACATGGTGTGGTGGTGACCACGCTAGCCCCCGGAACGGGTAATAGCGCTTTCGTTCTTCACCGCAGACACCTGCGTTCCGAAGTTTTGCAAATATCTCAGCATCACTGTGGTTGTATGTTATAATAGTTAAATCGACCAAAATGTCATCTGTAGCACAATAGCTGTTTCAACAACAGTCTTTGAACACCCAGAATTCAATACAGGATCAAAAATTATACTCAAAGCAAATGTTTTAAACCCAGCATATTTTTGTAAACGTTGTATTTGCTTGAAAATTTCACTGTATCATAAAACTCCATGGTTTGAAACATACTATGGAGCTGATGACATTTTGAACCTATTTTCAGGTTTTGTTTATCTTCAAATGTTTTTACCTCAAGAGAAATGTCATAGACTCCAAAAAACCAAAGACACTTGGCGAGAACTCAGCGTTTTACGGACGATAAGATAGAGTATAACGCTTTAAAACATCCAGCTTCTAGACGATAATCCGCAAAACTCTAAGTCCTGTGGTACTATCGGACCTTTCGGAGCATATTTTGAACTTCGTTTCTTTCCTGATCCGCTTTGATGTTTTTCACGTAGTGAACTTAAATAATGAGATTTTCAAATTTTCAAGAATTTTTCTGTGAATTTGCAGGACGAATTTAAGGCATCCACGACTTGTTGTTTTGTTCGTAAAAGGTTTTGCAGGGTCACGGCACGGGTCGCAAGGTCTAGCCTCTAAGCGAGTAGTGCCTAGTAGCAAGCCTGGTAGTGCGTCTGATGGTTATAGTTGCCGTATCTATTGGCATGTTCAATGGTTAAGATAGGATGTGAATATAGAACACGCCACTATCAGAAGACATATAGAGTAAAATTACTATACAGAATATTATTTTCTATTAGGTAATGTTTATTGGTCGACTTGTCGACACAACTTTATGCAGAATAGCGTAAACGTTTCTGTTCATACTCGAGCAGCTTCAAAAACAAGCTGTTTTTTATAGCCTATCATATTCAATAATGTGGGAATTTTCAGATGAGTACAGTAATTGAGTATGTTATACTGTAGAATAAGTCTTATTCACAACGTCGTGTCTACTTAAGAACAATGCACTGTAGGGAACGAGTCTTCAATGTAAAAGTAGCATCAATTTGTTTGCCTTTGATCTAACATGGTTATCCATTACACCAAAATTATAACCAGTTAGTACAAATGTAGAAAACAAACAAATACAGCGAGCACTGGTCAGTCGAAAAGGTCCTGTCGACGAGTCAACCAATAACATTATCTAATAAAGAATAATATTCTCTATAGTAACCTTACTCTGTCTTCTGATAGTGGTGAGTGCCCTATATTCACATCCTCCACCTCCGTAGGATAGTAGTCCAAGAGCTCCGACGATCATGCACCACTAAAAAATAACACCTACAATTGGAGTTCCACTGAACCAAAATATAGCACCAATAGAATGTGTTCCAAAGGGACGCTAATAAATGTAGAGCATGATGCTGATTGCAACATTTTCCAAGCAGAAACTACAACAACAGTAGTCAATGGAGGCGTATACGTTCTATATCACAAATTTAAGCTGAATTACTAAGAATAGTTGTCTGGCTGGTGAAGTGAAGAGTGACGACTGTGTGATAAAAATGAAACTCTGCGATTCTGTGGCAAAGAAACGAGAATAAACGACGACAAAAAGCCCGTCATCCATCTGTGGAATACTTCCTGATAAAGATAGCAGACAAATATTACCAAGCAAATGGTGAAATCTGAGAACCTCAGTATCATTATCCAGCTTCAAAAACTATCAATACACGTGAAAAGAACTGCGTCGTCATCAAATGCTACTCCTAAGAGTGTGCTCAAAACACTGATAGCCAACTGACTATCATACCTCCAAAAATATAGGACTTTTTGAAAGGAAAAGACCCTACCCAAATCTTCTTCAATATTGATATATACTGTAGTTACAGTCATCAACCTCGTATTAACTTAGTAATCCAAAAAGTATTTACTGTGAGAATATTTCACACAGGAATCAAAAACGCACATCATCGATACGTCCAGAAGTACGTCCTTCACCCGTGCCTTCTTCTTTAGCTTCTGTTACCACTACAGTTTGAGAAGTTCTTTTCGCAGTAGAAGAAATTATCAACAACATCAATGATAAGGCAGTATGCGCCAATGTTAGATAACCGAGGAATTTATAGACTTTTAGGGCCTAAAAACAGTTCACTCCAAAACTAATACCACTGATAGATAAAATAAACAAAGCGACAGAGTGGATTAGATTCCAAGCATAACAACACTAACCTTGAGATCTGTTTGCGGACTGAGTGACATGAATCTAATACCCGTCACTCGACGAGAAATACTGTAGTACGTGCCAAAAATGTAGAAAAAGGCTAGATGAAGACGATGTAACTGAGGGATACCAGTGGACCTGTAGAAGTCATCAAAATCCATGAAAAATACATGTAGTACAGAGCCAACAATACTTTACTCAAAAATGTCCTTCATCCTCTCTAGTTTGATAATGAAAGCAGTTCATACCTGGTCCACTCCAATAGTTCCTGAAAGGTCTTTCTAGCTTTTTGATTTCTCCTAATCGAAATACCCATGAAGGAAGACGTGGATGGATGTGCTAGTAGACGTTGAGCTCTCTTAATGAAATGAAGGAAATGTTTTGATGACAAAAAAGCTGGTGAGATTAAATCTATCGTCATTACAGAAACTTGCCACCGACCATTTAAACGTCATCATACGATCTAATAAAATGTGGATAGTTTAGTAGACTTGAGCGGCTTAGACCTAATGTTCAATAGGCCACCCGTTGTAAAATTTGTGGACATAAAACAAAAATAATAAAGAAGGGGAGAAAGGATGGGGTAACTAGACCGTGAGTCTTGTGAAACAGAGTCTAACCTGAAGCGCAAGCTGAGACAGTACAGGTGCAATTACATGGAAAAGAACGAATAGGAATCTCTTTCCAAGTGAAGAAACGGCATGATATGTCGAATCCATTTGAAATATCTTAACATACTCCTCGCCAAGAGTTTGAACACCTTAAATAGTGTGGCTGCCAATAGTGATATTATGAACGAATGGTTTCACATGGGACTTCTTCCATCCCTTAATGCAGAGCACGGAGTTCAATTTATAAAATTAACGTCCTTGTCACTGCTAATCTGTGAAGCCAGTCTGATTCCGCCATTAGATAAATACAATGGAGGAAGGCGTAAACAAAGTGGTAATCAAGGATAAAGGATAAAACCCTCGGCGTTGATCAATCCCTGTAGGAAACGACATGCATGCGATTTTATTTAGCAACGTTTGAGGTGACTGATTGCATATATGGCCTTTACAATGACTCGCATAGCCTACCGATGTATCGAGTTAGTGCTACTGTCCTTCCATACAGGTCTGGCACCAATTTACCTGTCTTGGAGAGATGGAAGGCTTAGTGAGCCTAGGACGCCGGGATCGATCCGATGTGTACCACATGGCGCTTCCGACCACTGCGCTACACGCGTCAACAAAGGTAATGGGACAAGCGATCGTAGCAGTCTATACTCCTCAATGCAGAACACCGCTGCCAACGTGAACTCACTCTATTTATGTACGAACTTTTCTAAAAAAACCTTATCGATAAACCATTACCTGCTATTGTTGTACAAGAATAATATGCTGCCTTGGCAAAAGGTCTTATGTAAGGACAAAGTTTTGTCCACGTTCGCTGTCCCAAGAGCTCTTTAACTACCTAAATATTTTCATCTCAGTACTACTTATGGACCGATACTTAACGAAATCGAATCAAAATTCATCATACCCAAGAAATACGATCCTGTAGTGTATCAATTTCTTCTTCATCCCTCGTGTGGGCCCGGACAATCTCACCCAACTCAGCGACATAGGTTTGCATCAAGAAGGCTATTCAGCTGGTGAATTGTAGGGTTTGTTGTACAATAAAATAGGGTTCCTCAGCTCGTATAAGAAATAAAACTCTTGGAAAAATATTCACTTTGTACAATGTGAACAGGAACGACAAACAGAACACTTAAGAATGCATTCATCACCAACGATGAAGAAAGGTGCCAAACTACATTGCAGCTTTCTCACTTATCAGAACCAGTATTTGAGAAAAGACCATGATAAGTTGACACTGTTAAAGCATATTTACAAACGAGTACAAAAATAATGCAATGAATTCTAGCCGTGCCGATGTAAATGAAATCCTAATATTCACTTACCAGTACAACTTAAATTATTTAAACCAACAATTTCGAGGTACGCTTATTCCCGACATGTTCTTCTCTAGTTATCAGCAATCAAACACTTGACGCTTTCAGGCTGTGCTGCTCATCTTCCTTTTCCACATCGTTGGCTTGCGAGACACCAAGTGTACGATCAAAGAAGCGTCCTTTTTGCCGAGTTGGTATACCTTCTTGATATTTCATTGGTGGCGGATCATAATACTGAAAAATGTGATCTATTGACAAGCCTATTATGGAGAATGATTACGCATGATATCTCTCAGCTCAATGTAATCACTTGTTTATTGCCTATTCTTCTTTCATGGCGGAGTATTATGTGAAATACAACGGTAATGATGTGAGATATTTGCAAAACTCCGGACCGCAAGTGTCTGCGGTGGAGAACGAACGCTCCCTCGTTTCGTCTATCTCTCAGCTAGTTTTCTACCTACCAGTGCCATCAGCAATCCCCCGTCAACGGGATTGTTCTGGTGAGCACAAATCGGCATTAAACTTAGCTAAGCCAAGGCTGTAGTCGAAAGTACGATGTTAACATTTTTCGCCTACTCCCTAATACAACTTACCATAGCAGAGTATTACGTATTATAGAAAACTAGCTGAGAGAAAGGCGAAACGAAGAACCCACATAGTGTGGTGGTGAACGCGTCACTCTCCGAAAAGGAGAGTAACGGGCTCGATCCTCAACCCAGACATCTGCAGTCCGGTCCAAAATTTTACGAATAACTCAGCATCATTGTGGTTATCTTTTAGGGTAGTTTGCATACTGATTGGGACCAACAATGCGTAATTTTGTATTTTCAACAGTTTCGGAGGAAATCTCACATTCTCACCAGCCAGGCAGACACATTTTCAACTTTTGAATTCTCCCATTTAACCACTAGCACGATTGAAACAGTCAATTAGAAGTGAGAAACGTTAACCGAATAAAAGTTTTGGGACAATCCTGTGTTAGATTAATAATCGAAGGAAGAATAGGGAAAAGTTGGAAAATTCAAATAAACTTCCACCTAACCTTCTTTCCTTGACGATCAATAGCAAAATCATACACTTTAGGATTTTCGAGAGCCTCCAATATCTTCTTCTCCAAATTTGTCACGTCTACGAAATTCTTACTGCGATCAATAGCAGCCCGCACCTTCAACGATGAAATTTCATTTGTCAGCAAATCAGTATGTTGCAGTATTACTTAACTACTTAAAGACCTCATTAGAAAATATCGGGCTTTGTTGCTCTAAATGCAAGTGCATATTACCTTGATTTTTTCAAAAAATAAAGACAAAATAGTAATACAGCAAAACAAATGAATTTGCAAACGTAGAGACCAGAGCACCCCCACAACTCGCGTTGGACCAATCCTATTGGCTCAATCGCTTCGTTGTTTGAAAGAGGACCTCAATAAGAAAAAAAAAAGAGGAAGAAGAAATGAATCCTGGGCTAGGAGAAGGTGAACCTTTCTCGTAATCTTCTACCCAGTTAGTAAAGATATTTACCAGATTCTAATGATTCCTATGTGGATTAATAAAGTTCATCAAGAGTAGATATATCTATTCATAGAAGTTAAACGGCTAGATTGTTTCTGGTCTCATATGCATTGAAGTAAATGCAAGTGGTCGAAAACTAAGGATTTTTTCTTCAAGAACACAATAACTTGTTTATCACTGTTAAGGTTAACGGAAAGTTAGTCTTTGGAATCGGATAAATTTTGCCCACTAGCTGTCAACTTTTACCTCAGTATTTTTACTCCACATAATAACTATAATTCATTCCATTTCTACCTGTGACCAGTTTTCCCCACTCACACACTGGTAGTGATTCGAAAACATACCTCTGCAGATGCCTCGTTAGCCAACTTATGCTGTCTTTGGAGAGCCTCATCAATTTCTTTGAGTATCTCATGTTGAGTAGTTCGCCATTCAGTTTCTTCACGTTTTACTCGAGCTTCTGCCTTCAATTTTGCAAAATCTTCACGAAAAAATTTGGAACTGATTCAAAATAAAATTGGTTTTCATAATTTTGCATGCATTATACTCCTTCCGATGTCCATTCATACACAATATTATAAATAGTTACCTTCTTCTGGTTAATCATGTCATTTTCCGCAATTAGTCGATTGAATTCAGCATCTTCCTTTTCTTTCATAGCTTCCATACTTTTACCAGCAGCTTCTGCTTCTCGTATTTCTTGACGAAATACCTTCGAAATAATTTCATGGAATTTATCAACACGTCAGGATGTTGTAAGCTCTCTATGAGAAAGTGCGACAAAAGAAAGTAAAAAAAAACATAAAAGGTACGAAGAATCTCATACACACCTGGAAAAATGACCTCTGTCAAGCTACTGTAAGCAACTACTATATCACTAATTTATGAATTTCTATACCTCTTTCAGTGATATGACGGCATTGTTATAAACATGACGTCGCCAAAGAAGCTCTTTCACATCCTCAGGAGATTGCCACGGTACGTGAACCACGTTGTAAAGCACCTTATAATTTACGTTCATAAATGATATATTAGATGCTAACATTAGTGAGGATATGTCTGAAAATGAACCACTATTAGTTATATTCAATCGTACGAATTCTTTCAGCTATTCGCACTCGAAGTTTAAAGCTTCGTAACTGAGATAAGGGTCACTGTTACACATAAATCGGATACTATTAAATTCCTTAATCTTCAACACTTTGGTGGATGCCTGGTCACTACGATATGAAAGACTTTACTGTGTTGACTGTTAAATTGTTATACCCACAGAAAGCGGATTCAGTGTTTAAAAAGTGAAGAACCTGTAGCAAAAGACAATAGTAAGCGAACAATAACCTCTTCATTCTCGTCATTCTCTTCCTCAAATACTGACCCTCTTCTTCGCCTCGAATGAGAGAATGGAAGGCTACATACAAAAAACACCTACATGAGTAAAAGAAAACAGGTGTCATTTAAGTATTGAAACAAGTATTTATGCTATTTTTGTACCATTAACGAAACATTTAGGACTGTAGCATGGGAGGTCGCACATAAGTGGGGGTTACGGACCCATTTGACACAGTTTTGGATTAACATTTTTAGTTCATTCATGGCACAAATACACTGTAAGACGTCCACTAGATCGAAGAAAAAAAAATACTGAGTCGCTATAGAAACAGACGACCAGATCTTCATCCGGGAGTTCACATTCAATCTAAGAAAGCCACAAACGCAAAACGAAATAATGAGGCTAAACATACTTTCTTTGACGGTGGTACAATGGGCGGTTTCCCTTGATTCGGTACTCGTCTTCCGAAGTTCCTTGACTGTAGTAAGGAAGCCCATAAATGAACTTCTGTCGTGAAGACGAGAGATGTTGAGTGAGCCAACATCTAGCCAAGAGTTGAAACCCATAATTTTGTACAGCTAAAGAAAATACCTAATAACAGAACACAACAAAATATATAACAAGGCTCTTCTCCTTCCAACAACTCGACTTTTTCTGCAAAATTGTTTTATTATTCATGGAGAAGAACAACAGAAAAACGATCCTCCACAATGCGTCAAGGTTGTGAACAAATGAAATGTCGAGTGAAACAAATTGAACTTCAACAATAACAAGAAATAACTTTGAGAGCAACATGTAATGAACCTTAAAGACTAATAAACCCCAGATGTGCAAAACTTCTTTGAAGTTCGCTAAACACTGAATTCCAGAAAGCAGTTACGGTTTTTTAACAGCGTCAGATCCGTTTCATATCAACTTCATGTAGTAGCTTTCACCGTTCCTATTCTGCACCGGAGTCGCAAAGTGTTCGCCTTCACTGTTCTGAACCAACCACAATTACACCGGCTATATAAAACTTCCTAACCACAACGATGCTAAGATATTTACAAAATTACCCCTCCCGGAGGTTAACGCGTTCATCACCACAACATGCAAGCCCTTCGTTTCGCCTGTCTCTCAACTATACTCTCTCTCTCTCTCTCTCTCTCTCAAACAAAAAGTTAACATTGGAATACTTTGTGCTTCAAAAAGTTTTAACTGCACTCTAGGCTAATTTGAAGATTGTGCGAAAAATCTTAGCTATGTCTTAAACTCTTTGAACTTACTAAAAATAAATTATAAGCAATATTACCGTATGATGTATGAACCATTCGTACCATACACCTGTGTCGTCCACCTTCCTTTCTATATTAAGGGTAATCTAAACAAGAATATCTCAAAAATATAGAGTACTGCACAATTTACACCTTCTTACAAAGCGTAAAAAGCAATACAACTAGGTCTTATCTATATATTAAAAAAACATTTAGAAATTGAGCTAAAGCACAATATTTCTCCTCGCTGGTTCAATATTGAAATGAAGACTTACTGTATCTCCATTTTGAACACGATACAGTTCTCTTAGAGGTACAACCGCAGGAAACCAACTAATCATGCCTTCCGAATACGTTGAAGGTACAATCGATAGAGCTATATCTTTGTATAGATTCATGTGAAAATATCCAGCAAAGCCCATCAACTGAAATAAAGTCGCACAGTTCAGTTTCAAAAATAAAATCAATGAGCAATCCTATGGATTTAAAATTTTAACCTTTTATTTCTTGCGTACTATAACTTTTCAGGCAGGACATGATGTGAATTACAACCACAACGATGCCGAGATATTCGCAAAACTTGGATATTGGGCCAAATCGAACCACGATTTCCTTTTCCGGTGTTCGCCCACTACACAGTGGGCCACGGAGGCTCTTGCTATGCGTTTCTCTTTGTTAGTTTTCTACCTAACGCTTCCATCTTATGGATTCATATCCACTGTGATTTCAAAACTGACTCTACATGAGCACAAATCGTCAATTCAAATTCCTTCATACAAAAAAGAAAGAACCAGAACATTAAACGATTACAGCGTACGTCAGCCGGGCGATCTATCTCGAATGAGACCCAGCCACTTCTAGCATTTGACTCTTTCGTGAAGTTCGGATGATTGAACGTGAACAATGGTTTCGGCTCAGCAAGTGCACAGTATTGCCGTAGATATGCTACATAGATTTGGTCCATATTCGCAATGTATTCACCTTGCCTGAACAAAGGTAAAACAGTTATGGGAAATAGCGTAGAACTAATCAGTATTCACACGGGTAGCACTGTCGGTAGCTTCCATCAGCTTGAAGTGTGGTACCGTTTCGTCCGTGGCCTGAAATCCCACGATTCCAGTAGCTGGCTCCACACATCTTGATTTGTTGATGAATATGAAGACTCATGATTGGCGCTGCAAAGCCTCGTATTTACTCTCTTCCACGAAACAAATTCAATAATATAATATGAGATAATCACCACTCACCGACGTAACTTGTGTACGTTTGCGGAATACTAATTGTGGATGGCTTCAAAAACGGAGTAATGCCATCCAAACATTCAGGACTGAGTTCGTTATCCCCAAAAGAACCCAATAATTCCGATACAACTATATCGGGTTGCGGATAGCCTTTTCCAGAGGCGATCACGGGAATATTCCGCATATCTGATTCGATGATAACACAACGATTGCGCCACCTAAAGGTAGCTTAATCTACCTATACTATAGTATTCTATCTATTCAATATTCTAAAATCGTCGCTTTATAGCATGCAGCAACAACTTTCTTTATTTATATAAAAATAAAGAACTATTTTTCTGTACGACCCGTCTTCACGCCTACTGCGATGATCCCAGCACTTCTCACATTCGATTCGTTTCCTCATATCCATCATTCACGAAGGTCCTCCAACTTTTACGTATGGCTTCGGCTGCTACTTGAGGATTTTCGTTTCATCTTGAATGTCGAAGAATGTAGGTCTACTCGATCTACTTGACACTCCCTGGAGTCCTGACATAGCCAGATTGGAGCGTCTCCAACTGGACTGCAAAGAGTGGTTTTTTCCCAGACAAATCCGGTACCAATTTCTCGACCCCGGAGGGATGAGGGGCATGGTGAGCCTTGCAGGAGCAAGCAACAGCTTATCAGAACGGTAAGAAGATGAAAATCAACAGTGAAGAACAGCTTACACTTTCTGATTCATGTATCTCAACGTGACTATGGTATTGGGGTTTTTCTCCACTACATAGATTTCCAAACGAAGACAATCCTGTTTACATCGAAAACGTGCATTGTAGTTACGCTCCGCTTCGATTGAACAAGTAACCTTGGAAGATGTGGGTCATTAGCATTTGGTTTTGTTCATTAAGGCTACTTAAACTTCCCAAAAAGTTCTCAAAGGAACACAATTTAAAGTCTGAGCAACTAAGAAGAGTTGACGTTATTCAATTACCAGTGGACCTCGTCCAGCTCCTAAAACATACAGAACAAGATGCTCAGGGTGAGATGACAGTTCTCCAAAGTCGTGCACTGCGGATTCAATGGCTTCTCGATATCGTTTATATTTAACAGGATCTTGTTCAAAAGTGTTGTACACGCACGAGTCAAGGTTATCAGCCAACGGTTGAAGAGGTACCTAAAAAATTTCTCAAGACAATCATACGAACCTAATAAAGAGGCTACACTCCTTTATTTACAAAAAACCCACTTGCAGAACGTCGATATAACTGATGTTGGAATCAACCAGAAATCCCGAAAACGTAATGCCGCTTGGACGGTCATTTACATCTCGTACGATAGCACGTAAAGCCTTAAGAATAGCAGTAACACTTGTAAATGGAAAGTTACGCCTCCAAATCTCCATATTTTATCAATATTTAAGCGAACGAGGAAACGAAACGTGGGTGGTAGTAACCTGAGCACACTGGCGTTGCAATGAAGGACTAGTGTCATGTTCTGAAGATCCGCGCACCATTATTCGCCCTTTTTCCGGCATCCATAAATCAAGTAGAAGATTAGCATGTGCACTAAGATAGAATAGTTGCATAAAATATAAAACTATCTCTCAACGAGGACGACAACCTATCATTACTACTAGTGGTGCAGACTCACGGTGGAAGGGAGATTTGATCAGTCTCTCTGCAACGAACGAATACATCCACGTCCACGCAGAATGTCGCGAGCTGAACAAAACGTAGGAGCATTGAGGATGGAGGAAGACTAAACTAAGGAAAACCTATAAATTGGAACTGAGTCTGCTTACTGGTTCCGCCTTCCATCGAGATAACAACTTTTTATCAACGAATTCATCATCGATATCGACCGTGAATTGTAAGCCGGCTTTAATTAAACAATAAAACTAGAAGACAGACATCAAAAGGTCAAAGGGCAAAGCATACTTACCTATTAGTTTTTGACTATAAAAATTCGAGCACAGTTTACGAAAATTGGCCCAAACAGTCCAGCAGTCTCTAGTGTCACTTGACAATCTTATGAAATCATCGAATCGCGTGGGTATGAGTATCCATAAGCTAAGGGAAGTAGATTGAAATAAGTATACATGTATATATACGAAGTATTCAAGATAGTATGACAATTTCCATTTGGGAAAGTAAACCATGATCAACGTACCTTGTTTCATTGATAAACTAACACGACGTTGTTACCAAATGTTTGTTCGGCTAGCGTTTACACGTCTTTGCCTTCCTCGGAGTCGATGATCTAACTGTTGACGTCGACTCAGATCATCATAACTCAGCAGAACGAAGATGAGACGTTAACAGAATGAATATTTGGTAAAAACCTCGTCTTAGTTCATCAATGAGACAAAGCGCATTGATCACTTACACAGAGTTTTAAAGACAGCCAGTTTACAAAGCAAAGGCCTAGGCTGTAAAGCATGAGGATAGGAAACGTTTACTAGTTACAACACACCCCAAGTTCACGTTTTTCGTCCATAACCACTGATTGAGAACCTGCGCCAAGCGAGGAGAATCCGCATGTTTTAGTCGAATAACGGCACTTCGCAATCCCATATACGCAATGTAATTGAGCTCCTTGAATGGTGAGTTTTTTAAGCCAGAATTTGGAAATAGAATACACAGTGTGTTCATCAGCCTGTGATAAATAAAAAGAAGTCTTAAAAACGCTTTAGTAATCAAATAAACACCTTCCACAGTTCAATTTCTGACATCGCGGCCAATTCTTCATCATCGGAATCGCAATCAATCCACAGCGAAATTTGAGCATTCACATAGGTTTCCCACAAGTGGTTCTGCAGTTGTACATCAGGCAGGTCGATTGGAGGAGGAGACCCTCCACTGGAGAAAATCATGTTTAGTTGAGATTTGTTGATTCTGACTAGGCTATGTTGTGAACCAATGGTGAAATGATTTGCTCACTTAGTTGGTTTCCAAAAACCACGTCTCACTCCACCTGCTGGGTAACTCACAAAGTTATATAGCTGACATCCCAGACGTTGGCTATATACAGCGATATTGCTAAATGAAATTACTTTATGGACGGCACAGTTTTGGTGGTTAAATTAGGCAATAAAAACCACATTACGCTCCATTCGGCTACTTCTTTTTTCCTATTGCAAACTAATTATTGCCACTAGGACCTTAAGACCCTAATTACCTTCCTCTGGGATAGCGCTACACACTTCTTCGATAACCCAATAACTATTAAACACCATAAACACAAATATTTGCTCATAATGTTAACTTTCTACTTGCCGTCTGCTATAATTTTTCGCGGCAGGTTATTATGTGTGGTACAACCACAGTGATGCTCAGATATTTGCAAAACACCGGACTGCAGGTGTCTGCGGTGGGGAACGAATGCACCGAGTCCTTCGTTAACCATGTTTTTCAGCTAATGTTCTATCTATCTAACTATCTGCTGTCTAACTGTTTGCTCATATTTAAAAAGCAAATGGAAGGATGGATAAGTCGCACTAACTGGTCATATTCTTCTCTAGCATCCGAAGGTCCCGCCACCCATCCAACATGTATCCTTTGCCGATCTTCTGGTGAACACAGCGTCTGCAAAAAATTCGATTTGATACGCTAAGCAACTAGGCAAAGTATATCAAACTATGAATACTTCACCTTAATGTCACCTTTCGCGCTTGGCACAGAATCAGTCCCTAACATTGAAGTAGTTTTGGCATTAACCTAGAATATACAGTGCATAAAACCTCATTAACAAAAAACAATAGTGGTATCCTTACAACAGACCTCAGAAGATGTTGACTCCTTCGTCAACAGTTCTTCTTCAGTGCTAACGCCATTCGAAACGGTCGCTTCAACCTAAACGTCTATTTAGGAACCTATTTTTGCAAATATGAAGTTTTACTCCATCTCTAAAAACTCTGAAAGGATGCTTACGTTCGCAGGTATCTGCGCCTCATCTGCAAAAGTTTTCGCAAACAACATCAGAGCTTCCCGTCTCATTTCTTCCGACATTGATTCGTCGAGGAATAGCTTCTAAGAGTTAAACTAACAGAACTTAAAACTTCTTCATGTGTTGTAGGCAAAATGTGTTGTAGTGGAACTCTTGGCTTGTTCATCCCCTTCCCTACCACCTGCAGCATGGTGAACCACACCAAACACAATTTTCCTACACCCTAAGGATTGTTCCATGAAAATACTAGAACTTATGGACAAAAGAATAGCGATGATGGGCATAAATTCTTGTGTTGCAAGTAAAATGAACGCTAAGGTAGAGATTTTATGCTTCCCCCACATTTTACCTAATCATTTGAGCACATCCTACTCATTTTTTGCATATGAATCCTCATCATCACTGAAGACTAAACCGCAAACAACCACATAAAAGCCATTTTGAAACGACTTCACCAGCAAAGTAATCTCGAAATTAGTGGAAAAACGTACAAGACCCAACGTACTACATTTGGAAATATCGCATAGGCAATAACCTTTAGCTCGAACAAACCTCAATCATTGTCCGACTTTTCTCGTCCAAACCTTTTGGGGTCACAATACTGTGGTCAGGAATTGTATCGCCAACACACTTCTTTTTCGATTTTTTCACAGGACTTGTCATTTCAATATAAATAGATGATAGAGAATACTACTTAAATTTTCATTACTCTGATCTATCTAAAACAACTCGTACATAAATATGCCGAAAAGATATTACGAAATATAGAACAGTCATGTCCTAAATTCCAAATCATTACAACAATCAAGTACGCTTCCACTGAATTTACAGCACGAGCAAACCAAAAAACAAATGGTTAAATTTATCTCTACAAGAAAGCAACAAATCTAAGAAGAAGAAAAATCTAGCCGCTATGTTGCTTAGCGAGTTCTTCAGCTTTTGCGAACACATCGTCGATCCCCCCTTGCATGTAAAAAGCGACTTCTGGCAGATGGTCCAGCTCTCCTTAAAGCACCAAAGGTAGTCTAAACCTAAGTGAAAATAGAATGACCTTGAAATGAAAAAGTGGTATGTAATTGGTGCAATACACTATGGACCAGAACTCCGAGCACACTGTTACATTTTGATTGCAGACAAAAACTCCAGAAAGGCCACATTCAAGAAGCCCGCCCACAGTTTCTCCCAACTTCCCCCACTCGATGAAAAATACCGCCACTATAATATTAAATTTTTCTTTACTGACTACTATTATTTTTCTCGGTAGGGTATGATTTGAAATACAACTGCCATGATTCTGCGATATTTGCAAAACTTTGGACCACAGGGCAGATCGAACTGCGATTACCCTTTCCGGGGGTTCACGTGTTACGCATGACACCATTGAGCCCCTTTCTTTCAACCAGCTTTCTACCTAACGGTGCAATCATAACAATTACTATAAATAATCGGCAAAGGAATGGTAGAACTTGTGGGAAAAAACCAACCTTTCAAAATCATTTCAAAACCGCGAATAGTCTCTTCTAATGAAACGAATTTTCCGGCGTGACCAGTGAAGACTTCTGCTACTTGGAATGGCTGGGACAAGAAACGCTGAATCTTTCGAGCACGGGATACTGTCAGCTTATCATCCTCAGATAATTCGTCCATACCAAGGATAGCTATAATATCTTGGAGCGACTTGTAATCCTGAAGAATCTTTTGTACTCCACGTGCAATGTCGTAATGCTTTTGTCCAACAATGTTGGGGTCCATAATACGAGAGGTGGAATCGAGTGGATCGACAGCAGGATAAATCGCCAATTCCGCAATACCACGAGACAATACAGTGGTAGCGTCCAGATGAGCAAAAGTGGTAGCAGGAGCGGGATCAGTCAAATCGTCAGCAGGAACGTAAATGGCCTGCACGGAAGTAATGGACCCTTTTGTTGTTGTAGTAATACGCTCTTGCATGCTACCCATATCAGTTGCAAGTGTTGGTTGGTATCCGACAGCAGATGGGATTCGTCCGAGAAGTGCAGACACTTCCGAGCCTGCCTGGGTGAAACGGAAAATGTTGTCAATAAAAAGGAGCACATCCTGTCCTTCCTTATCACGGAAATACTCAGCGACAGTCAGACCAGTCAGACATACACGAGCTCGCGCACCAGGAGGTTCGTTCATCTGTCCATACACCAGAGACACTTTGGAATTGTTGCCCTTAAAAACCAGATTTGTAGAACATGCATAATCCACACTTTCCGCATTTATAATCATTTCAAAACACTATGACCATCTGTTATGACAATCTATGGTAGGTTTCAAAACATTTTCGCAAACAAATCAGTTAAAGAACCGAGCCCTACCTTAAGATCAATAACTCCTCCTTCGATCATTTCATGGTACAGATCATTACCCTCACGAGTGCGCTCACCAACACCAGCAAAGACCGAGTAACCACCGTGAGCTTTAGCGACATTGTTAATCAGTTCCATAATAAGCACAGTCTTCCCCACTCCGGCACCACCAAAGAGACCAATTTTTCCACCCTTGGCATAAGGAGCAAGTAGGTCCACAACTTTGATCCCGGTTACAAGAATCTCCTGTTCTACAGACATTTCAACGAACGCAGGAGCTTCTGCATGGATTGGAGCACGGTGCTTTGAGAGAATAGGACCTCGTTCATCAATCGGTTCTCCTATGACATTCATAATACGCCCAAGTGTCTCGGGTCCAACAGGAATTTTAATTGGATCTCCTGTATCTACGACCTCCTGTCCACGAATAAGACCTTCAGTACCATCCATAGCTATACAGCGTACAACGTTATCACCTGAACAAGACATGTCACATTGGGAAGAATAGAACTTTTCTCATTCACGATCGAAAACTAACCTAGATGTTGCGATACTTCGAGTATAAGACGAGGGAAGCGTCCGGTGACTTCGAGACCGTTGAGGATTGGTGGCAAATTCTCATCGAACTGAACGTCGACGACAGCACCAATAACAGCTACAATCTTCCCTTTCGACCCGGCAGCACTTGCGGTTTTAGAAACCTGGAAGGGAAAAACAAGAAAGCATTTGACTTTCCACGAAATTTTTTGCACAGATTTCAGTGGAAAGTCACAGAAGCATACATTCTTGTCAGCAGCTTGAGCTTGCGCTAGGGTAACAGCTGAGGAATGCACATCTCTCTTTCCAAATGTCGAACTGGTGCATCCTGAACGGAAACAAAATAGTGGAGAATGACGGCTCAGCGGGTTAAAAATATGAAGATATAGAGGAATTAAAAGTTCTTCATCGCTAATTATATCCATACCATTGATTGCAGCTGGAAAAAGGTTCCTTTGAAGATTGGATCTCAGCAGGCGGGCCGTGGCAAAGCGACCAACCTGCGCAAGCGATCGCGAAGCCATCGTTTGTACCCTGAATATGTTACTTAATTTCTACACTAAAGCAATGCGATTGACAATAAGGAAGGAAAGAAGAGAACATAAATCAGAGAGAACTAGAAGTGATGAGCTCACACCAAGATTAGGAAAAGAACTATTATTCTAAATCGTAGACGAGAACTTTTAAACTTTTCTGCGCGATATCAAAGAAGTTAGTCATAAAGAAAAACCACGTTTTTAAAGAGGATAGCATAAAAAAATGGACCGAAAGCAACCTTACACTTGCTTTGAGACACACTTCGATTCAAAGGGTGGGTTCACGAACTGTTCTGGGTGCTTGCCCATGCGCTGGTTCTGTCCTACTTGGCAATTCGGCCAAGATAATAACTAAGCGCTTGGAAATTGGAAGTGTCCACCCCCACTCCATTTTGGATAGAGTCCGGTAAACAAGATTTGCACGTACTCCGGAAGAGATCCGACAAACTACCGCTGTGTATCACTGGCCAAGAATTAACAAAAAATCCTCCAAGTGCTATTTCTCGTATCGTTCGAAACAAAGGAACGACCCCACTGGGTAATTTCACTCACAACTACGGTCCCGCTAGTGATCAAGCGACACGAAGAGATATCCGTGGACTCCATTGTCCTCGTCATATACCACAATCGAAAAAGGGCACAAAGGACACCATGATTTTGGTACATTTCCCTATCTTTTCCCATTTTTACCACGATGGAACAAATCACGAGAAGCTCGCGAGACTCCACAGTGACACGTGCTCACTTTTAGCTCGGCTGCAAGACAAAAATGTTGAAGTTCTTCTCAACTCAGAAGATCCTGAAGGCGATGAACCGTACACGAAAACTGGCACATCGCAATTGGACATCCAGGAAAACCAAAAACCACAACGAGGTAAGCAATAAACCATTGGGGATCACTTGGTTCACTCTGTGGTTAGTGAGAGTACAAGTTGCACAGATCATACAGGAAAAATTGATAGGCTGAGAAGAAAAAACAGTAAGCAAAGGGAGATGGCACACGAATGTTGCTTCAACAGTGGACAAGAATTTGTAAAAAGGAAGACAAACCAGCAAGAAAGTGCCCTAAAATTACTCTCCCGTCCAGGGAAAGATTGGCTTCATTCTTGCATGAACTGAAGAAGAGCCTAACCTAAAGCAAATAACAGCAGACTAAACGATTAAGTAGCACCAGTACCTTCAAGTACGCAACCAGGACAAGCACACAATTGAAGTGACCGCCCGTCAACTGTACTACGAGTCAGAGGGTCCTGAAACGAAAGCGGTAATGCAATCGGGCGCACAACTACCGGTGAGGCGTGTCTGGGAAGGCGAAAGTCTGGCCTAAGTTTTGTGGACTTTTCTTTTGTACTGTAGTAGTGCAAGGGTGGTGAATCATGATGTTTCTTGTGGTGTTTCCAAAAATAGTCTTTCTTAAGGTGCTTGTGAGTCCTTGTTACCACGTTTGCAGAATTGGTGTTGAAGCCCGTTTTTTGGTTCTTTAGTGTTTATGTACTGTGTAGTAAGACCATAAGTAGGAAATTATGTTTGGATTGGGTATAGGACGATTTTATGCCTCTAATGAATTCGTTACCCTCCCAACCTCATCGTGCTTGGGAGGTGTCCCTGGGTGTCGGGCTGCGATGTGCCGCGGAGGATTCGTATTCCCGGCGGGATCTCGCAAGCTTAGAAGAGTCCGGCGTTTCCACCAGGAAGCCCAGCTAATTGTAAACGAATACCAGTAAATACCACCGTCCTGGTATCAAATTAGTCGCATGTTGGCAAATCTCCCTCTGATCCGCAAGAGGGCGACTGGCTGCGGTGGTGACGACCTGGGGCAGACTTTGGCCAGGCTAACTTCGGGACTCTAGTGAAACACAATGGGTAAACTAGCAAAACTTCGAATAGAGGTAATGCTGAGGCCTGCACAGCCAGTGAGGACGGGCCTTCCAAGTTTCCAAGTAGCAATGGATTCGTAATGAACTATGGAACGAGAAGTTTATCGTCCAGTTGATGCCAAGGAAGCGTAGCGCTAATATTGGGAGCAACTTTATTTAAGGTGATGCCTCGAGAACAACATTGTAATATATTTTACCACATAGCCTTAGAACTATTGCTACAAAGTAGGTGTAAGAATTAGAAATACTGGTGTGTTCAGACATATGGCATCTAACGTTGGATGTGCGAAGAACACTGCTTAGAGGGTAGGAGAGTAATAGCGCGTTCGCTCCTCACCGCGGACATGTGCGGTCGGGAGTTTTGCAAATATCTCAGCACCATTGCGAGTGCTTAAAGATGCCTTGTAGTACACGTTTGTTCGCAGGTACGGCCCAGGCCAACAAACTGTGATGTTAGGGCTGGCACCAAACTTCCTTGGATACTTGGATGATCACTCTTCACTGGTTGTGTGGGCCTCAGCATAATCTCCATTTGCTTCTCTCTCGCGCAGTCGTCGTCCATAGCGGCGATCAGGTTTGAACATGACGTCCGCGAGGCTTATCTCGTTATGTTAAACGCCATTCTATCTGCGAATGCAGGTGGTTCACGTTAACCACGAACACGTCCACCCATCGTTTGGTTGGTTTTCTTGCTGTCGGTTGTATTCTCTTAGATTCCACTCCACTGTTCTTTTCGTCCATCTGTCGTCTGTTCTTTTTATTATGTGACCAGCCCATCTGTGTTTTGTTATCGATGTACATTCTCCTCGATGGGACAGGTTGCGAAGATCTGAGGTGCACATTCTGGTCAGACGTTGTGAATGCCGGTTGAATTTCAGAAGACGTCGTTAAAGTGCTCTGTGAGTTGTATGCAGTATTTTCAACGTAGTTAAAGTATCAGATCACGTTTCTGCTGCATAATAAAGCGCTGAGAGGACTGTTGGGTCGAAAAGGTGAGCAAGGGGTTTTATGTCCGTTAGTTGGTCGATGGCTTCTTTGAGAGGCCCAGATTCGGCCCATGCTGCTCTCGTTCTTTTTAATTCCTCGGATGTTGTTCTCCATGTTCATTGAGCATCCAAGGTGCATGTACGACGTGGTTTTTATAACCGTCCAATTCAAGTTGTTCGTCTTCGCACCATGGATTTTACATGAACTGGATCTTCGTCCTATTCGTGCGCAGTCTACTCTTTTTCCCGCTTTGTTGAGCTTATTGACCATTGTCTCCGGTTCATTAATACTCCTCGAAAAGGTGACGACGCTATCTACAAAACGAAGATTTGATAGGCATTTTCCATCAATACGTATACCCTTCTCGTTCCAGTCAAGTGACTTCATTATTCACTGTAATGCGGTCACGAACATAGCCATGGCATTGTTGTATCGCCCCTGTCGAACCCCATTTCCTATGGGTATGGTGGCGAGTCCGACGAGAAAGTATGTTTGTGCTGCAGTTCTGAAAACAGTCAGCTTGATTTCATGTGTAGAGCGGGTGTACCTCTTGCTCCCTCGTTCCCCCTCGTATACCCATATGTATATTACATATATATATATACATATATATGTATATATATAGGATGCGGTCGTTCCGACGTTGTTAAATGTTTTCTCGTGGTTCATAAAGGTTAGAATAAGGGCAGGTGGTACTTCCGACAGACATTATGACCCATGTGATACGGTCCGGACGTGGTTCATGCAGTATAATCCCTGTGGGAGCTCTGCTTGCTTAACTTGTAGTGCCTCATCCAAGGTCCTCAATATGTGCAAAACCATAGCCTCCGTGAACAGCTTGTAGAGTGCGTTCAATAAGCCCAATGGACGGTTGTTGCGAAAATCTCTTTGGTCACCCTTCTTCGGTATGATGACCGTGCGCGAAATTCTCCACTGGTTGGGAATTTTTCTTTTTGAAAAAAACGTCATGTAGGCTGCGAAAAGTATATGTAATTTGTTGGCGCCAGCGCTCAAAGGAAATTGGCGGTGATATTATCGCTTCCTCGAGCTGTGTCACTCTTCTTGCTTTTTACCACGACTCGGACTTCGGAGAGTAGAATCCTGGGCGATTTTCCACAGGTGGAGATTTCGGGATTCGAGACAGGACTGCGGGGCAGAAATAGGTGGGAGAGAACCTTTCCATTATTAATTCCTTGTCATAGCAAGATGTAGTGATTGTTCCATCTTCGTTCATCAGGACGCATAGCGTAACATTATAGTTGCACAGACGTTGGCGCTTTTTTCAGACTAGATCGATTTTGAGCTGCTTCCAATAACTTTCTCCCCCTTTATCGACGTATATGCTCATACAAAGATCTTCTACAGTTGGCGTTTATTGTTAGCTATGTTCTGAACTTTTCGTTTGAGGAATAGGCGAGTTCTGCACAGATTTTAAGCCCTTCGGTAAAGAGTTTGTAGCCTTGATCGGGCCTTCCTTCATCTTCCGGTCATATGAGGAGATTTTATCGAGAGTATCCTCGTCATACACTAGTTGTTTTGTTTTTCTTGACCGATGACAGGAGTTCTTTTACAGCTAGTGGCTGAATTACATCTTCGTACGGAGAATGTGGTGGTCAGATCTTGTACACAATACAGGTAGCACTGAGGTGTCAGAAAGCTACCATTTCTATTCGTGAGAATACGATCGATCACTGCGTGAGTCGTGCTGTTGAGAGACAACCATGTCCATCGGCAGTTTTCTTTCCTAGAAAAATGAATTACCATGAAAGAGACGTGTTGCGGGCAGGGATCCTGCAATCTGGTTTCCATTCTATTTCGTTCTCTTCTTCTGAATTTACCTATCTTGTATTCATTTTCATAGGCCCTTCTTATTCTGGCATTGAAATCTCCAACAACGAATTTATTGAAGCACTTCTCGTTGCTGATTGCTTCCTCCAACTAGTTGTGGAACACATCCAGCTCTCATTAGCAGTAGCAGTACATGTTGGCGAGTAACAGTTCATGATCCAGACTTCCTTTAACGCGCAACTTGGAGACGAATGGCCAAGCGCCGCGACAGGATCTCGCATGAGGTGACTAGAGGGGAATTGGGTGTGCGACAAAGTCACCGCCTCCAACATTTGGTAACGGAAATCTCCCTCCGCGAATGACAAAGGTTCCGTCGTCTAATTAGCATATTTCGGTCTTACTACTTTTAGCATTATGGGGTGATTACAAATCGAATTTGATGCGGCCAATCGCCTCAAAAAGAGCGTAAACAAAAAGCAGTCTCCATGGCGTGGTTCGTTTTCACCGCTTCTACTGACGTCGAATGCAGCACGAGATCTGATCGCCTCTCATCGGTTCTCTCACCACCCGACGATGTTGACGGGAGCGCCTAATGAGAAGGGTGCTGAGGCAGGAATTTTGCTGGTTTAACCAATGCGGTTCCCTCGAATCCCAAGGTAAGCCTGGCCGTAACCCTACCCTTTTCAGGTCGTCACCACCCGAGGTGGACGTTGCCGCTAGAGGGAGATTTACCGCCATGCCACTAGTTTGATACCAAGATGGTTGTGAACTATTGGTCTACTCTTAGCTGGGCATCTGGACGGGAATGACGGACTCTTTCTCGGCTTCGACCATACTGAGGGATGACTCCCTCTGTACATCGTTGTCCGACACCCAAGAATACCCCTCAGCTACGACGAGAGGGTAAACATTTGGGAGGTGGCACCAAACTACTTTGGGTAAAGCTCCCTCCGATCCTCGTGCGGGCGACTACCCTTGGTGAAGACTCCATGTAGTAGAGCATCCCAAATTCCAGGTCGAACCAATATTATCTGCACTCAACAACATTCATGATAAGACAAAGTCTTCAAGTGGCAGGCGAAGTCACGCATAAACTTTGAAGACAGTGATGATGGATTCGAGGGAGCAAACTAGATGAAGGAAGTGCTGGGGATCCACACAATATGTGAAGTGGAGTCATACAAGGAAATAGAAACAAAATCTTTTTATGTTTCTATGTATATATGTATATATACACGTGTATATACATATATATACATAGAAAAAATATGTATTCCTATATATTCTGTTACTATCATATTTTTTGTATCATTAATAGCATTCTACGGTTGGGAAAATTTTTATAGAGATTATTTCACTTGTATAGTCCTTTCACTCAACTCGATTCTAGGTGAACATGAAGAACACGGCAATGAAAATCTCTAACTTTGCTATGAACACTTAATACGTTGCACCAGTTCTGGCGATGGTAATATCGCTGAAATGTTTAGCCATAACAGAAATCTTTGAAATCTTTGTAATATTTGATAAAAATGCTATCGATGTATATTCTCCTGGATCTCGAAGATGTGACAGATTTCGAGGTTAGAGCTTCGGGCCAGTCACATAATGAGAAGAACAGACGACAGATGAACGAAAAGAACAGTAGAGTGGACTCCAAGAGAATGCAAACGTCCCCTTGGACGACCACCTACACGTTGGACGGACGTGTTCGTAAATAAAGTTAATCAGTTGTACCCGTGACTGCAGTTGTCTTACAGATCATGGTATGAGACTCGCACGCGCTACCATGCTCGAACAAGACCACCACCATGGACTATGATTGCAAGAGAAAAGAACGAATGGCATATATGCTGGGGGTCCGCACAGCTCGTGAAGACGGACCGTCCAAGTAAGTAAGTGTTTGATAGAAATGGGTATGAGCATCGTTAAAAAGCATCGTTAGAGGTGATTGAATGCATATTGGTCCTGTACAATAACTCGCGGTGGCCTACCGATGTATCGAGCCAGTGCTGTTATCCTGCCAGACAAGTCTGACACTAATTGGTCGACCCGAAGGGATGGAAGGTTTGCTGAGCCTGGGACACTGGATTGGCCCCTTCTGTATTGCAGGGCAACTGTAACCACTTCGGTACAGGCCTCCTTGAAACATACCAGACCTAAGTGGATATCGGTGCATGCAGCAGATTAGAAGGAGGTGTTCTACGATGTACATGCGATCACATATAGAACAAGACCTTGTTCACTTCGGGGTCAAGAATTTGGTACCAGACTTGTATGGGAGATTGAAAGCACTGCCTTCTTACATCTGTAGGGCACCACGTGTCAAGCCAAATATGCATCGAATCACCTATGCGTAATGAATTTGAATGCGTGGCGTTTGCCTTAGAGATTGGTCAATTCCGAATGCTTTATCTTATTCCAGGACCGAATATCTGTTAGACTTGACATTAGTCACTAAGGGTGCTCAGTTCTTAAGCAGGTAAGACGTCGTTAGTAACAAGAATTATTCAATACCGGGTGACGTTTCGGTGGTCTGCCTTCTGAGCCCGGAATGCTCAAATTGACTCGCAATCTACTGTGCCAAACGCTCTCGTAGCCAAAGCAGAAAAAACTCGACTCGTAAATTTCTCTGGCTTTATCCTTCATCGTATGTGTAGAAAATAATCGAAACTGTGTTCTTCTTAGGAAGAGCTATACCGCCGCCAATACTTGATGTTTGCTTGTGGTCCACTCCATTCGTCACTTCCTTCAACATATTTCATAATACGTAGAAAATCCTTTATCATATGGTCCGTTCTCGCTACTCCATATTAACAAAGAGATTTTAATGAGACGTTTTCCAGTAACAAGATACACTTCTAAAAGCGGAATTGTAAAATCTTATTAAGATATGCGTTGTACAGAATGAAAATAAGCAAGTGCAATTGTGAATACGCAAAAGAGAAAGTATGTATATGATCTCAAATGTTAAGAGGAATCAATCAGTTACGATTTCCCATGACAATCGCCAAAAGAGCGTCACGATACTGTCCGGAAGTATCACCCTGAAAATTTTTTGGTAACAAATCAACTGGAATGCACGGCAAACGCACAGTTCATCAACGTATTTCTATCTGTTTTAGTTTGTTTTACGTTCAACGCAATAAATAAGAGTTCAGCTATAGAAATGCTTCGCACTTCGTACACTGACCACCATGTGCTGCTCACCTTAATCATTTCCTCGAGCGACTTGTTATAGAGTGCTTGGAACTCTTGCTTGATGAGCTCGAGGTCGACTTCGGAACGAGTTACAAGAACACGAATCAAATCGTTGTCACGAGTTCCCAAACCCTGCGAAGACTACGATTTATTCGAGAGATCTCAGATGGACTTCGAAAATCTAACGTTCCGATTTTTGTTCATATCTCAGCACCCTTACGATTGTACTTCACATAATAACCTGCCATGAAAAAAGAGTAGGCAGTAACTAAGAGTTAGACATATGCGAGGATTTTTGGTAGGCTAGGTGTCGGACTGCGATGTACAGTGGGGGATTAATCCCCTGGCAGGGTCCCTCAAGCTGAGAGGGAATCCGGTGTTTCCATCAGGAAGCCTAGCTAAGAGTAAACCAATACCGGGATCCACCACCGTCCTGGTATCAAAGTCGCATGGTGGTAAATCTCCCTCTGATCCACAAGGTTGGCCAGCCTGACTACGGGACTCTAGGGAACCATAATGGCTTAACCAGCAAATCTCCGAACAATGGAGATTATGCTGGGGCCCGCACAACCAGAGAGGACGGGTCATTCAAGTATCAGGTAAGTAAGTTATTAATAAATGGATCCATTAAGAATGTTCCATCCATTCAATTCTACCAATCGTGGAGGTGATTAAATTCATATTTCACCCACATAGTGATTTTCAGGTACCTATAGGTGTACCATTTCAGTGTTTTTAACCTCTCAGACAAATCTGGTATCAATAATTCGGCCGCGTAGTGATGAACGACTTGGTTAACACTGGGTGCGGGATGGAACCGACCACATATGCCATCGCACTACTCTCGCCCAAGCAAACCTAGTTCCTCTACTTTCCCGGCGTAGGCAAATTGGTGCCACACTTGTCTAGGAGGGTAAAAGATACGGAAATGGCACAACGTTAGGCCCCCATAAATCGTTTAATCTGTACAATATGCATCCAATTGCCTCTGATGTTCGATAGAGTCGAATATATGACTCATCCCTAAGAAATTAACCAGTATCAAGAACTTTGTCATTTATGCTATACTCATAAATGAACCTTCATTGAGTTATACAGCTGCACGGCAAAGAACTTCTGTTTGTCAGAAGCAGCTCGAACAATTGTCAAATAACTCTTTTGGAGATCACCGCTGAATTCCTTTTCGATTGCTTTCTCTATTGATGACCCAGAAAGTTTAGCAAATTCAGCGAACACCTTAAAACCAATTAGGATTAACTTAAATGATTACAATGGTTTCTTAAGCATTCTTTTTAACGGTCAAGACTAACCTTTCTCAGTTGATACTGATTCTGAGTGGCTAGGATTTTTAGAAAGTGAGAAGGGGAATCTTTAGCTACTAATTTTGCTTTACCGTCAGCAAAGAGACGAATTGCATCCTATAGAAAATGGATTAAGAACAACGGTAAAGATAACGATAGAAAGGCAATGCTTCTTACATCTTTGGCCATCGCATCGTTAGTGTCATGACTGCTGTCTCTGCTACCAGTAACGAGAGCGACCAGGAGGTCTTTGAACTCTCCAGAAGTTTCTGATGCGACCTGAACTGGAACATCCAACCATTTGTCTACTTGTGCGTTTAATTCATATCACATAGTTTCTTGTTTAGTACATTTGAGTTGTAGACACTAAAGAACAAGATTATCAATAATTTTCCACATGATTGACCTGACACGAAGTTAGTCACTGCTCCCTCTACAGGATTCGATTCATTGCAACTATGAACAAACATGGGCACAAGACCAGTTTGGGACCATTGATTCGGATCAACACAATTCTAAAAGCGGCGAAGAGGTCGAAACGTTGGCCGAACAAAAGTTTTTTAACCAATCTCTTGTCAGCTTAATAACGTAGAGATTTATTTACTATTCATACCAAGTAACTAAGAAGTAGGTTTAAACGCTTATACGCTTATAGAGGATAAATAGAGAAATTTAAACATTCCATCTTCATAAGTGATACGGTTCATAGTAGTTTCCCCTTTGCTGGAGTTTGGCTGGATGAAGTTTTTCTACTCTTGAAGCATCCAGCTATCCTTGTCAGGCCTTACTAAGTTGTCACAACATGGAACCACCAGTCCCTGTGAACTGTGGAAAGCTCACCGTCTCCAACTTCAATCCCTCCACGACGGCAGCAACTCCTGGCTTTTAACTGTTCTCAGTTGGACCTTAGAAAAGAAACAAAGGGAACAGTATTGAGGTTAGGTCTCTTTGTCTGTAATATAAACTCATGCACTGTTGTACATCACCCAACAACATCCATTAGTTAAAATGAGACCAGAATACCACCGTGTTCCCACTAACGTCTATATGGAGACACGTCCAATATTAGATGTGTTTTACCAGTTCTAGTTAATTTCTAGGTAATTTGGCAGCGTAGTACCGTCCGTCATGGGCCACGGGAGGAGTCGCGTCGTCTAAAGTTCAGCGAGAAATAAACGCGGTCAATCTAGACTGGAAAGCAAGCGTCACTAATACCACAATGCACCACCGTTCTGGTATCAAACTAGTCGCATGGTAGCGAGTCTCCGTCTGATCAACAAGGACCACCACTGCCTGTGGTGGACGACCTGAGGCAGACTTTGGCCAGAATGACCTCGGGACTCGAGGAAGACACCACCAGCAAAACTCCAAAAAATGAAGATTGTGCTGGGGCCCGCACAACCAGTGAGGACGGGCCGTCCAAGTATCCAAGTAAGTAAGTAAGTCTTATCAGCTCATTAAGAATAAAGGCGGATTTTAAGTTTATAACAATTTGGGGCTGCTCCTCTTATTCTATCTGTTTCATAACTTATTTATTTGAAAAATATTATCAAACATCATCTATTCACTTCGTTAAACGTTATTTATTTTAACTCTTTTATTTACTGCCTTTTTCTTCTTAATGACAGGGTATGTTGTGAAATATAACTCGTATGAAGTGCTGAGATACTTGCAAAACTCCGGACCACAGGTGTATGCAGTGGGGAAGGAACACGCGCTGTTGTCCTTACCGGGGATTTTTTTACACATTTCACAACATACCCTGCCATTAAGAAGAAAAAAGGCAGTAAATAAAAGAGTTAAGATTGTGATTATAACGAGGCCTCAGCTTAACTGGGTTCAATGCCGATATTGGCTCCCCAGATCAATCCCGTTGACGGGTGATTGATAATGGCAAAAAGATCGATAGAACTAGCTGAGACACATGCAAAGCGAAGAAAAGGAAAGACCCGGATGGTGTAGTGGTGAAGTGCGCTGCTCCCCGGTACGGACAACAGCGCGTGTTCGTTCCCCACTGCATACACCTGTGGTCCTGAGTTTTGCAAGTATCTCAGCACTTCATACGAGTTACTTATTTTAAAAATATGGGAGGATTTTCAGCAAGGCATGAAAGGAAGATTAACTCCCAGCTTCTTACCACAACTAAAGTTTTTGAAAATTCCGGTCGATGGATTGTTGGAAGCCAACATTAGCAGTTCAGAACGGGAAACAGTGAGAAACAAGTCTTCACCCCTGTTCACACCCAAGACAGCCATCTGCATGCAAAAAGGGCAACAATCTTATACCTCCTGCTCAAGCGGTTTCTTATATTCCCTCTCATAGGCGATTCGAATCGCTTTCATTTGTTCGGGTGTTCGTGAGCATAAGATCTCGATCAGCACCCCTTCATCGGTTCCGAGACCCTAAAGAGTTATCTTCGATAAACTTTACGAATACAAACATCAACAAGACGTCGAATAGTCGTCAAAATATTTCAAATAATAGTAACAATAGTCATCATAATGTTCAAGAAATTCTGTTACAATGACCTCTTATAGCGGTTTTTTACGGTATGGGAAATCGACCAAGAAAAAATACATCTTAAGAGTAATGATTTTATCCGGTAGAGTTCTGATCGGGATTTTCAGAAAAACTGTGGAACTTCAAAGACGGGAGTTTGAGTGGATTTTGAAAAAATGTATATCTGGTTCAAATCTATAATGAGTAACTGGGGCTGGAGGAAATACGAGCACCTTATTTGGGATAAGAACAGTGGATTTTTCTCTTTGTAGACGACCATCAAAAGGACATTCAGCGCATTTTCAATTTCCACAATACTTCCTATATTCGGTTCACTGTGCCTGTTATGACTTTCATTGTCTTCTTATGCATAGTCAGCAGCACACGCTACTTAACTACGATAACGAAAGCGCTTTTATTTTCACTCATGAAAGTCTATTCAATACATTCTACTCACCTTCATTGCTTGCTTTAACTGCTTGACATCATAGTCAAGAGGAGTGTCCATAAGTGCAAAGATGGTCTTCTCAAGATCGCCGCTAAACTTCTTGTCCAACGCGGTGATAATGTCCTTACCATATTTGATTCGGTATGGTTCTCTTAGCTGAAAACAAACAATCCTGAGAAAACTGAATGAATTTCTATACGATCAGGAAATGATATAAACTATTCTTCAATTAGTTAACTAACTAGCTACACAAAATACTACAGGGTAAAGGATAAAGTGCCCGGATTTGATCAGTTCTTTAGAGATTCTCCACCTGTTCGATTTTGTTAAGTATCATCGAGGTAATTGAATTGAATATCACAGGTGCACAATGAGTTCCATCACCTACTGATGTATCAAATTAGGATTTTTACCATCCCAAATGAGCGTCATAGCTTTGCCGACCTCGGAAGAATGGGGAGTTTCAAATGACTGAAGCATGTGATCGAACCGACGACCATGTGTGTATTGTAGGGCACCTCTAATCACTGCGCTACATCGGTCCAGCGAAAATATCACGCAAGTTGATTTTATTATCTGGTCAAATGTAAAAAAAAAAGTGACATTGATGTAGTGGAGATGAAGAGGACAAAATGGTGAGAAGAAGGACTATCAGTGACATATACTTTTTCTTCATTTTCACCAAAAAAAAAACTGTGGGACCATCGCTAATCTGAGACCGTTTTTTCTCATTAACTGTGTTTCCCTGTTTAACATAGACGAAACGGATGACTAGTGTAATTGAGGAGTGGAAAACAGTAACACTAACTAAGTGGATAAACTATGTGAAGTTCATTTACTACACAAAAAATCAAGAGAGAGAAGAAGGTAGAAAAAGAAACTGGTACGGTACTAATAATACATATCGTAACCAACTTCAGCACCACCGCCACCGAAAGGTGCACCGAAATAAATTCACAGGTAAACAGCATTAACCGAAGATAGAAGATAGACCATTCAAAAACAGAGTTCGCCAAACCGTCGAGCTTTTTTCATGGTACCCAAAACCATAGTCACATCCTGTTCAGACCATTGAGCATCGAATGGTGTTCGAGGTCACCAGGAAAACTCTCGTTAATGATTTGAAGGAAACAAACCTACTATTCATCTATTCCACAACGAGTTCTCAAAGTTGTAAAAAACAAACTGTAAGAGTTTAAATTGCGAAAATGAGAAGTATCAACTACAAAATCGCAGTGACACTGGGAACATCCTTTACAAGGAGGCGAGGCGATTACTAACTACCCATCTCTTTGGTCAACTTATAGCTTAAGAAGAGTCGCCTTGGCAAATATGCCACCTATATCTTCTACGGTGTTTTCGATAGTCATTTCCGCTCGTAAATACACCATTTTAGATGATAGACTGAAGACGTTGTCACTCTGATTCGCTAGTAAAGTACAGGTTCTGGATAAGATTTTACTTATGTGGAATTAAGTTATACGCAGAAATTTAACAGTTCACAATAGATGTACTAAAGTAAGTGCGGCTTTTCACGGTATTGGAATACATGGTATCTAACCAGTAGTGAAAACCAGTAAGACCGTTCTGTTGCACAAGCAAAGAACTCTTACTGATACTGACAATAACCAATCACCTCTTCAACATTAGTTAGTGTACTAACGTTTCGGTAATGAGGAAGCATGCCTGTTGACCATTGTTCGACGATAATCTCTCAGCAATTAAGTTGAATCTCATATTCGTTTACTTGATGTTTGCATGCTTTGTCTTCGGCCGTTCGTCTTTGACGAGATGGGTTGGTTGGTCTTCACTACGACAAATAGAGTTGTAGAGTCATAACACTGCGAAGGAAAGTGACACTCAGACCGACTAACTACTATCTATTCTGCGTGATTTACCACATCTACAGCGTCATGGAGACCACCTCTGAAAGCAAATACATCTTCATGCTTCAGATGAGAAAAAAGTATTAAATCGATCGACATAGCAGTAGCCGCCAAAGAAATGTGAGAGCCGTTGTGCAAAGTGCTAGAGACAACAGCAGTACCGACTTAGTTAAGTGAACAAACGAAAGTACCCAAAACCTTGGGATTAATCCACGATCGGAGAACATAGACACTGCTGCACAGCTTAAGTCTCAACAATCTTTTAACCTTTTTTCTATAAGCTAGAAAATCTGCTCTAGTTGAAATACGCGAAAAGCATTTGATTTCTTCGTATTTTCGTTGAGCAAACGCGAGGTGTTATTATTCTTTATTCACGAATAAGCTGACGTTACGGCGGATTTCGCCTTCCTCAGAGCCTGGAAAGGTCAAGCTGATAGCAATCTACTCGGCCAGACGCCTCCATAACCAAACAAAGAAACTCCAAACCAAGATTTCAATCACATTGAAGGCAACTTTGCACACTCACCGCTTTCTATGAGGTTTCCACTAAGTATGTGGCGTGAAGACCAACTGCACAGAAATCACATGGAAGCATAATGTGCCCTTCCCATCAGAATAGCAGTCTTATATACTGCTCTATATCATGCGTGATAATGAGGCATTCTTCCCTGCGGTTCATTTTCGGATTTCTGGAATTAATCCAGAGTGCCTCGAGAGTTTTTTGCGCCTGTGTTCTTGATTCGCGTGCGAGGATGGTGACACATACTTCAAAGTCCTCCCAGTTATGTCTCTGGGTCCTATGCGTGCCTAGCGGTGTATTTGGTCTATGTTTGCCGGCTAGGTGTTCTTTTATGCGGACACAGAGGAGTCTGCCTGTTTCGCCGATGTATTCGTCTCCGCACGTCTTACAGGAGATCAGATAAACTATACCCGAGCTCATGCAATCACCGTCTCTACCACTGGGGCAAATTATGCAATTTTGAGATGCACATAGACGGTCATATAGGCGGTTACGAACTAGCTGGCGCTTAAGATTGCTCGGTGGTATTTCAATTACGCTTACCGAATTCTCTAAACCCGCCCTTCTTAAGCAGCGTTTTATAGCTGTAGTTATATCATTTGAGATGAAGGGTAGGATAAACGGGACCCTTCTATCGTTGGAGTTGTCGTTTGGAGGCCGAGGATTTCCCCTACACCTATCCTGAGCTACAGTTTCGTAGCCATTAGAAATGGCTATTTGCAGTGCCAAGTTCCGGGACTCTTCTCTCTGCTCTCTTCCCGTGCACACGTTGGTTGTTGTTCAAAACATGTTTCTTATAAGCGCGCTTTTCGTGTGAGAGGGGTGAGAGGAGAGGTAATGAACCAAGATGTTTTTACTACTTGGGTTTCGGTACCACTTTGAAATGTAGCCATTTTCTGATAGGTGAATTTGTACGTTCAAAAATGGAAGCCATTTTTCTTTCGGCTTTTCTCGGGTGAACTTGATATACTCTGACTGTGCGTTTAACAATTCGAAACATTTGTCCATTTCCTCTTGTGTTGAGCAAAGGACAAAGCAGTCGTCTACATACCTACAGTAGAGTAGCCGCCNACCAAGATGTTTTTACTACTTGGGTTTCGGTACCACTTTGAAATGTAGCCATTTTCTGATAGGTGAATTTGTACGTTCAAAAATGGAAGCCATTTTTCTTTCGGCTTTTCTCGGGTGAACTTGATATACTCTGACTGTGCGTTTAACAATTCGAAACATTTGTCCATTTCCTCTTGTGTTGAGCAAAGGACAAAGCAGTCGTCTACATACCTACAGTAGAGTAGCCGCCCGATGGCCGAAATGCAATGGCAAGGCTTGGAGCCAGTCGTTGTCCCATTGCCAACCCTCTTATTTGAGCGTAGTACTTTCCAGACCATCTGAAGATTGAGCAGCTCAAGCAATCTTTTAAGAGTGCCATCAGGTGCTCTATCCTGAAGCCATACATATTTATTTCTCCTTCGTGTTGCATAAGGAGTTCAAGTATGGCTTGCATTGCGGAGTCATTCGACACGTTTGTATAAAGGGCAGTGACGTCGAAGGACTCCATCACGCACGCGCTGTTGGGCTGCGCAGTACGTAGACGATCCAGAAACATCCGGGTATTCGTAAGATGGGCTGGAATGTGTTTCAACAACTGGTTAAATATTAAGGTTAGAAACCATGTTATCCTATCCGTTGGCCCATCTACGGAGCTAACGATAGGTCTAATCTTAAACAATGATGGATCGGTAGACGCAAGATCATCGCTGGATATGGGGTTTTTATAAGCAAGTAGAAGACGAGACATGTTGGTAAGTCAACTTTTAGTTGAGAGATAACTGATTTGATTTCAATAATAACCGAAATGTCACACGCTTTCGTTCCACTTTAGTTACTATTTTTTAATATCACCGTTATTATTCTACTCAATGGAAGCTGGATAGACGTACCAGTTGTCGTTGATTGTTACTGATGGAGGTGATGAGCTTCACGATGGCGTCCTTGTCGCCGGCACGGAGAGCTCGATCGATCTTCTCGGCGGTCATCGCCGGATGAAAGTCCGGATTGTCGACGATTGTAGCGTAAGGAGAGTTCATGCTGAGAAACTGTTCACATCGATTTGTTTCCACTCATTGAGAATAACTCTCCGAATCCCAAATAAGATCACTCGTGAGAAAGCAGTACATTGAACAGGACAATTGCAGAGAATACAGCTCTTCTAATGAAGGTAAAACAACAAATCGTATCGTAGCACACGTTGTATGAGAAAGAAGAAGAAATTGAGCGGGAAAGTGTAAACAATAAAAGAAAAAAGAGAGACACGACTGTGACCAATACAGCGGGCAACTGAAGAAGCGTTTTTCTCGAAGGCAATTCCCATATCCCACCACATTGCCCTCTACACGTGTATGTTCAATAAAATCGATTCCGTAGATCAAAAATAACGATTATGCAAAGGAAAAGCTAAGTAATAGGGCCTGCAAGAATGAGTTTACTGAGTAGTACTACCTCAGAGAGCACCAGACGTCAGTCCCGTATTGGATCGTCGGTTCAAATATAGGGAAATAATTGTCGGCTTCACAAAGACGTTCATATAACAGCTCCACTCCATCGCGATTGGCAGTGATGTGGTTCATTCATATGTCGTTCATTCATTCGTTCACATTATTTCATCACACGTGCATTTCATTTCGTCAACTGAACTGAACGATGCCGAAATAGAACTACACGTGTGACGAAATGTGTAGTGTAACGGATTGGCTTGGGTAGGAAGATCAGTAGAACAAGAACTCGTAACCCCTGAAATTCTCACGAAACCATATCCTTCATAGGTTTTCGATCCCTGATTCTTTTGAAATTGGTTCACAAAGAGGTCCTATCTCAGTACGAATCAATTATCTAGTAAAGAAGCAGTGCCGTAGTAAGGTTAACGCTGCTCAACCATAGAGAAAACGTCTACAACATCAAAGCGAAGAAGAGTAAGAAGTGGATTTTAACCCTTTACTTTTATTGGCATTTTTTGGATTAGACTTCTTAACCATGAGTGGACACGCAGTGAAGCGTTCGGCGATGAGCACTCGCTCTGAAAAGCGCCTTGCATTCAACTCTATTCATAACACCGTAGAGGTGATAGCGTACACATTTGGACGTTACAATGACTTGTGAAGGAATGTGGATGGATCAAGTTAGTGCTTTTAACTATCGGATACTGAATGAATATTGTTAATGCATCAACCGACGTTCCTTCATCACAGCGGTCCGAGGTGCCGTGCAACACCTGTAGTTTCTGGCACAATTCCGCGTCTGAGCAAACAAAGGCCTGCATACCTTCGTTGTCAGCAAACTGACACCAGACTTGTCTGGCTTGATAGATTAATAGATCTCTACAAGTCACGCTATAGACGAAATATTCACTCAATCATCTCTACGATGCTACGAATGGAGTTGAATGCATGGCGTTTCCCTAAAGCAGTGCTCAACACCGAACGCTTTGCGTTTTATAAAGACATCAGTCATTTTTTCGTCATAACGAAAACAAAAGCAAGCTATGGAACGATACATCTGCCCTCTTCCAGACATCTTGCACATTCTTTTTCTTTTTTTATCGCAGAAATATGGAGAAGACGGTTTTTCTGATAAGCAGTGATCGAAACACACTGACAACACTTCCACCGCCGAAACGAAACTATTGGTTCAATATAGAGATCAATAGATTTCTCAATATAGAACTACGTTATGAAGCAGAAACCTCACTTTGCTAGTAAACGTAATGGTGATCACCTGCAATCCAGTTTATTATCGAGTACCTCGAACGAGCACCAGTAAAATCTCCACTCGTCCCCGTTGAGAGGCAGAGAGTTGCTTGGTGAGCTCTGTCTATTTGGCGAATACGATAATGATCACATTTCTCATATGCGATTCAGATCCTGCGGTTTTCTTTGATAGAAAATTAGCAACAACTCAGTTCGACGGGGTTTGTTGTTGACTGACGAATTTGGGAGGGGACGTGGCGGCGGAGGTTGTTTCAGCGCCGCCGAATACACCCGTGGCTGATTCGTGCTGCAGCCATCGCACTTTCTAGTCTAGTGAATGTGAGCGTTTTTGTCAAATCGATGTGCAAGAGAGAGCCTCTCGTTCACGGAAATATCCTTGCATGAACGCATGAATCGATGTCTGTATACGTATAAAAGGTACGTATTCGTCCCACGTTACGGAGATAAAAAGTTCATTTTCTTACACGTGAACCAGGCTAGGTATAAGACCCGTCCTACCTGCTCAAAATCCTTCGAGAATGACTTAATAGGTAAACACCTGCAACTTCATGGAATCAGTGACACCCGATGCGACGGCAGAAACTCACAGGCTGACCGCGGCGCTGCAACGCCAGTAGAGTTTCCATCATTCGGTTCACCGGAAATCATTGCCGATTTGTTATCCAATCTTTGCTGTATACGTTTCAGAACTAGTATTTCTTCAATTGCTGTACTATTATATATAATTGTTAGCTCTTTTTATAACAAAAATCGTTTTTTTCTTTCGCGGCAAATTTTAGAGGTAAGAATTTGTGCAAAAATATATAGATCCTAAAGGTTTTTATTTCGATAAGTGAAGTTTAATCTGAGCTAAAATATGCTACTTTAAAAATAAAGGCTGAAATTCGACGTTAATTTCCGAAGAACCTAATGGAAAAGTTTTCGGCGAACTAAAGGATAAAGAAGGATGAAGCTCTTGGCGTTGATTAATCCTTGAGGGATACACCATGTATTCGACTTTATCACGCATCGTTAGAGGTAAGGAATGCATATCTCGCCTATACAATGACTATCGATGATCTACCGATGAATCGAGCCAGTGCTGGTATCCTCCTAGATAGGTTTGGTAACAATCTGCCGACCCCTGAGGGATGGAAGGCTTGGTGAGCCTGGGGTGCAGGATCGATCTAATGTGTATTGCGGGGAACCTCTGACCACTACGCCACACGCGCTCAATGAGGAGCTAATACGTAGAAATGATAGCCGTTCCGTTCTATGCCTTGACACAACATATGTTGCACGAGATAGCGATTGAATGGGAAAGCGCAGCAAAAGTGTTCAATGTCGTAAAATAAACTAATGAAAACAAGATGCATTGAGAGAATGTACTTTACCCAATTTGCCCGCACCATTGCCTGCATTGCACACAATGCATTCTGGACGTTATCCGTTTTAGCTGTTAAATCCAGAATGGACGTTATATTAAAAGACTTCATAAGTTTGACGATTTAGGCTTTTTAGCGTATTCAATCTAGATCTGTCATCATGATTAGAACTGTCAATAAATTGAAGTGATAGACAGGCATACGGTAGAATATTCGAAAAAGAACTTATGGCTTGCAACTACAACATTTAAAATCACCAAATACGTTCACCAGAAAAATCAACTACATGGAAAAACGGTAGCTGTAATGAAAACATGAATCTCAATAATTCTCTATGTGATAGAGCTCATAAGATAAATCTCAATTTCCGAAGTGTTGAGGACAGAAGTTAACCTCAAGTACTAATTCGTGAGTTTTTTTGAAGCCAACATGAGTAAGCTAATAGCCAATATTCGCGTCATACTTAGAACGGCGAATATATGAATGAATCATCGAGAATCAAGCGTTAGTGTATATCAACTACTCCCCTCTACGGCCTCTTAACTAACTGAAACATCTATTTCTTTTTGGAAGAAAAACAGTGTCGACAGTTGAACTGATTTACCACGCTGGAACTTCCCGTAGAAAACTCTGTTGACCAAGAACTATCCTCTAAAGTACAGAACGCTCAATAAATTCAAAACCGTTTTATGAAAACTGACGAGAAATGCTCTGGAAAAAACATTTCGGCGAAAGAATGTACCGTACATATCGAAAATAAGTTTAGAAAGTTCAACTACACTCAACCAATTCATTGCAACATATTGGTTGAAGATGAGCTCGATTCCTGAAGTAGCTGAAGGCCTTCAGTGTTATGAGACGACATGTCTTTTCAGAGCATTTTCAGCAGTTTTCATGGATGACGAGAACATAATAGGAACATAACTAAGCACTTCTGCAGTTTTAAATAAGTAATGGTGCAGTCAATGTAAAGCCAGATTTTTACGGTCAACTTTTCGTTGCCAGTATGAACTTGGGAACTGATGCCACCACGTATTAGAAAATCTGAAGAATTAGGACCTAGAGAAGGAATAGCCTACGTTTCATTGAAGCTAAAAAACGTTTCTATAATGCTGAGATATTTGGAAAACTCCGGACTGCAGGTGTCTGTGGTGGGAAACGAACGCGTTATTGTCATTTCCGGGAGTAACGCTTTCACCACTACACCATGCGGGTTCTTCGATTCGCCTGTCTCTCAGCTAGTTCTATCGATATTTTGCCATCAGCAATCACACGTCAACGGGATTGATCTAGGGAACCCAATCGGCATTGAACCTAGTTAAGCTGAGGCTATAGTTATAATCACAATCTTAACCTTTTCATTTGCTGCCTATTCCCACGACCGACTTTCTATTAACCTTGGCATTGATCAAGTAATTCTTCGCATTCTTGTTGAGCAAACGCGAGGTGTTACTTTTATTCTTTATTCACGAATAAGCTGACGTTTCGGCGGATTTCGCGTTCCTCAGAGCCGCTTTCTATGAAGCCTCCACTGAGTATGTCGCGGAACATGTATAATGCTGAGATACCCTGCCGTTGAAAAAGAATAGGCAGTAAATAAAAAGGTATGCCAAAAAAAAAGTGTTCTTTGTGTCCAACTGTGATATAGGGTAAAGGTTCACCATCTCAGTAGTACCACACAAACATCAATGGAGTTCGATATTCCAATATGGAAACACACTTAAGGAAATTTTTTCTCACAGCACAGCCTGATTGGCTACTCTTGGCTGCTTTCTATTTAAAAAAACGATTAAAAAGGATGTCGTAGCAAGAGTATCACGCGCTCTGTGGGTCCTTAAGCGGGCTAGAGAACTTCAGCGATCAGCTATGTTGCGGGTCAGGAACTGGGGAAGTTCACCTATTTCGGCTGTTTAAGAGGATGTGAGGTGGCAGGTGATATATGTGAATGAACAAATAACA